TGAGTAATGTAGGCCTGTAACTATGTACATGAGTAATGTAGGCCTGTAACTATATACATGAGTAATGTAGGCCTGTAACTATGTACATGACTAAAGAAAACAACTATTATAAAGCTTGTTGAAAAACATCTATGTTATTAATGTATACCGTATAAGCATATGCAAGTAGGTGATTTCCTTCTAAATATATATATTCTTATGTTTTTAAATATATGGGTATATTTATCTTATGGGGTATTCATACCGAGATTTGCATTTTGTGCTTTATCCAAGTGTCCTTTTCTAGTCAAATGGAACTGACTTTGTTGCATTCTCAGAACATATATACAACATCTTCTCTTGGAATCATTCAAGCTAAGTATCATTCGTACAACTAAAATGGAGAAAAGTGATACTTTCCATGTCAGTTTCTTCTTTTGCGTGTCCCATTTATTTCTCTCACGTTTTTAATGAGTATTTATTCAATACAAGTCATCTTATACTTTTTCCGATGATAAATATGGAACGGGTAAAGGGGGATTGAAGGATAGGGTCAATATTTGGAAAATCGTAGACTTCGACAGTACCGAGGATTACCTGCCTACGTCGGAAACTATTGAAATGTTTCAAAAGACATGGATTGTCCGTAATTATCTACAAATTATAAATGAATCGTATCCCTTTCACAAATCATTCTTATAAGATCATGGTAGTTTCTATTATGGATTTGTTATACCAAACAAATTATGACAGGAAACCTTTGTCGTTTGTATGCTCCATGATATCTATGAATTCTATATGACATTGCCATTGTTAATACCTGTACTGTTTCTGACAATTAATGCTAACATTTCCGCACATGGTATAAACATACATAGATATAAAGGATCACCTTGTCTGCAACCCATTGATATCGTATGTTGTAACGCCCCCCACCCCCTTACAACAATCGTAAAGAATGAAGATCCATCAACTAGTACACTTGAACGAATTTCGTTGTACAAGATTCTTATTAAAATATAAACTAGCGAGAAAGTTTAGTGTTTTGCCAATTAATTCAAAATCAACTGCATCAAATGCCTTTTACAAATCTACAAGTATCATTGAACCTGGCATCTGACAGGTCGAGGAATAGATATGCTTCAGTAGAATGTGTCTTCTTATTTCACCAATGTACAATAATTTAAGCCATACATCACCACCACAAACCCCCCGACACCAAATGGTAAGCCCCGAATGTAAATCTTGAACGATTGAATATATTGTAGACTTTACAGTTTATACCATTCTATTACTATTGCGTATTAGAAATCTTATTTGTTTATCTGAGTATTGTGTTCCCAGAGAGGTGTAGTCGATAAGACCTTACAAGGATAACAAAGGAGTATTGAATTGTATCGAGGTCAGGTTTTATTGAGACTTTGATCGATGCCATACGTGTCAGCATCCACTATGATTACTAGCAAGAGAATCTACTACGGTAGATGTATATATGTGACCAGTCTCACATCGCTTAGACCCGCTGCTGCATACCCACCAACACACCGTACACCTCTCCCTAAACCACCCATACCCCTCATCTTCAACCCACCCGGGTCCCCCTTTGCGCTTTTCGTAATGTGTTTTCAAAGTCATTGACTCAAAGTAAAGTTCGGCTCTAAACATAAAAGTAGCATTTTCCAGCTGAAACACTGACGCTATTAAGGGAGATTTGTCAAATATCGTCTATGTACAATAAGGCTGAATTCATTGTATGCGAAAACCTGATGCTGCAACTTTTGAAGCATAAAATATTTTTTCAGCGACAATTCTCGTTGTTTCGACGATTTTCTGGATGATTCGAGTATTTTCTCGCTACTTCAAGTTTCTTTAAAAAAAATTGACATTTCAAATTGACATTTCATATATACTCGTTGCTTCGAGCATTTTCTCATTTCTTCAATTATTTCTTCGTTGCTCCGATTAATTTCTCGTTGCTTCGAGTATTTTCTCGTTGCTTCGAGTATTTTCTCGTTATTTCAATATTTTTTTCGTTTCTTCGAGTATTTTTACGTTACTTCCAGTTTCTGTCAAAAACTTGAAATTTCAAGTATATACTCGTTGCTTCGAGTATATTCTCATTTTTTCAATTATTTCTTCGTTGCTTCGATTAATTTCTCGTTGCTTCGAGTATTTTCTCGTTGCCTATTGTTTCTTTCAAAAACCTGAAATTCAAGTATTTACTCGTTTCTTCGAGTATTTTCTCGTTTCAAGTTTCTGTCAAAAACTTGAAATTTCAAGTATTTACTCGTTGCTCCGAGCATTTTCTCATTTCTTCAATAATTTCTTCTTGGCTTCGATTAATTTCTCGTTGCTTCGAGTATTTTCTCGATCCTTCAACTTTCTTTCTAAAACGTGAGGTAACGAGAAAATCCTTGAAGCAGCGAGTAAATACAGTGTACTTGAAATTTCAAGTTTGGAAAGAAACTTGAAGCAACGAGAAAATACTTGAAATTTCAAGTTTTTGGAAAAAATTTAAACGAGAAAATATTCGAAGTAACGAGTAAATACTCGAAGTTTTTGACAGAAGCTTGAAGTAAGGAGAAAATACTCGAAGCAGCAAAAAAATAGATGAAGCAACGAAGAAATATTCGAAACAACGAGAAATTTCGCTGAATGTTGTTTCATGCTATACAAGTGGCAGCATTAGGCCTTCGTAGTTGTGCAGCTATTGAGCTGAAATAAACCCAGGAAACTGAAACTCAATCTAAAGAGAGAATACAACATTCATGATTAAGATCGATAAAATAGATACTGATTCATATCAAAGACCGGTTTCAATCAAAATGTAGTATTTCCTTTGATTTCTTTATTCTTATATCATAATAACATAATTACAGAGAAGTAATTACATTTAATTAACTTATACTAACAAGCACTGCCACGGGTGGCCCAGTTTAAGGCGCTGCAATTCTCTGTTGCAGAGTTGCGTCCCTTAGACAAGCTCATAACCTGTGATTGTGGGTTCGAATCCCGGTTCGATACAGGTATTGTCTAGGTTTGTCAGCTCCATATCCGTAGTCTGTCTTTCTCCAAAATAGTAAATATACTCATGCCAATAATGGTTGTCACCCTCCCCTCCCCAACCCCCACACACCTCCCCACCCCACCCCTCTCCAATTAAAAATAAATTGAAGGGGGTGACAACCATTATTGGCATGAGTATAGTTCTGATTTCTCTGCCCATTTCTGGTGTCCCCCGCCGTGATATTGCTGGAATATTGCTAAAAGCGGCGTAAAACTAAACTCAGTCAGTCAGTCAGTCAGTCTGATTTCTCTCCCTCATCACACGGACACAATGTAATATGACTGGCGTATTGTAAAACGGCGTTAAACCCAACTCACTCACTCACCCCCGTCTGCTGCGACACCACCATGGCCGTCTGTCGTGTGTACGTGGCGAACGAGGGTGAAGATGTAAGTCCTACATCTGTCTGAACATCACGTTACACACACTAATCTCTTGTCAATATCAACCCAGTGCTACGTATTTAATGCGATTACCCACGACACTGCTAAGATTTCCATTTGTTTGTACATGCATATATTGACATTGTCTATATATTTACTTACCTTCAAATACCGACACTTTGAAGATCAACACGAATGTCAACAGATTATTTCTTTGGGAATTAGTTTGCATCTTATACTAAGCATTACGTAGGCCAGAATGGAAGAGCACCTACGCATATTTCCCTGTTGACACAACAGCACACGTGTTTTCACCTTTATGACGTCATGCCGTTAGGCATTCAAGTGATTTCTGCTGGTATCCATGTATCCTCCACGCCGTCCTTAGTTCAGAAAATATATCCGCTAGATTTGGATAATATCATGTAATCAAAGATATATCTTTAGCATCTTCTTAGTATCTACCATTTGTGGACTTTTTTGGAAGTATCGGTATACTCAACACACACAGTACAAGAATTTGTAGTTTACTGAGAAAGTAGCCCAAGACGTTTGTTACACTGACCACGGCCATGTGTATTCTTCGCCTTCTGACATAGGAACCAATGTCCACTTATTAGAGGGTGGTTCAGCTTCGGTGGTTCAGTTGGTTAGATCTTTGATTGTGTGTGCTGGCGATTAAGTGCCTGACCCTGAGAGTGTGGGTTCGATCCTGGAAGGGACTAAACTAGCTATATTACTAGAATTTTTACCTATGGAAATAAAATTGTATCGCTTGTTACATCTGACCATTTTCTAAAAGGGCAGTGTGTACTCGGTTAAGCTGTATATCGCTTTTCATTGTTGATAACGTACGCCTATTTGTCACGTACTGTCATCACCTCGCTAATTGGCCATGGCGACACAGTCAGTAGGTAACCATGCATTGGAAGTAGAACTTGGCCATGAACTTCATTATGTGGAAACACAGGCATGCAAGGTTAACCGACGTATTTATGAGTAAATATTTATGTTCAATATTTACCTTGACAAGATGACACTTAATAGTATCACTAAAATACACGGTACAGTGTGGTCTTGCTAACTCACATGATAAAAACTTGAAGGGTTGAGCGCCTGAATTTTGATAATCTAGAGAAAAATGTACTGCAAGCCATTGCACCATTTCGGTTATAACATAGGCACGTATCTGTGAATCGTTATCAGTGAGCGTGAGCGTATCCTGCCCCATCGTCAGCACAATCACAAACACAAGGCAAGTCAAGTTAAGACATAAGGTTTGTCACTGATGAGTCAAATTTGGAAATATCCCCCACGTGTCTACCATGAAACTCTTTGAAAGCTTTACCGAGACCTTTGCAAGACAGGGAAATCATTTTCAAAGATACAGACAGTGCTTATCTTCAATCGAAAGTTTACTTCATACATTCAGTGAAATCCGAAACAGTCTTAAATTACCGATGCAAGATTATGTCATAATGGTCTGGGACATTAGTGCATGATGTAATGATTTAAATGAAACGTTTCTTCTTCTATAGACTCAAAGAACATTGATTTCTCTCTTTTTGCAGATCCATCTCATGAGGTTGGCCTGAAGAATGATTAAAACAAACTGGGCGCTGATTGGCTGCCTGGGCCTGGTCCTGGCAGTAACACTACAGCTGGGTAAGTACCCGTGTTTTGATTGGTCAGATTTGACACATCTCTTTTGATTGGATTGTTTGGAAGTCATATCTCATAATTTTACAACGTAGACACATTGGATAACAACTTCTTTAATATACTAACAAAGCGGCGTTATTAATGCCAAGTAGCCTAGTAGCCATAGATTGTCTCCATTGCGTCACTCTATAAAGTGCAGTGTGTCTCACGACACAAACTCAGAAAAATGTAAGTTGATGATCTATCACACGCATTCAAAACGAAAACAGTGTAAATATTAAACTGTAGCCTTTCCAATAGTTCTCAAGCTAGATTCACCCCATAATGGTTTTCAACGAACGTTCACCCTGCAGTAGTTTCGTTGCCTGGCGACAGATAGACATATATTTGTCATAAAAACATTTCCACAATTCGACTCGAAGATGAAATTTTTAAACAGGCTCTCGTGGCTCCAACTGACTCTTCGACGTTTTTCGAACCATTGATATCTGTTGTCATATTTGTTTTTTAGGACAGTAGAATTAAAAAGTCACAACCATCTGCCTGTTTTAAAATATAAAACGGCTGACGAGAAGAGGTTAGTGCACATACGGATACAAAGTAAACAAAGACGCCGTCCAGTATCTGTGCACGTGCACATCAGGTGGACATTAGTGCCAGTGTTTTGAAGGAGACTTTGTTTGAAGTTGGATATGGTCCTCAAAGTCACAACTTGCAAAAGTAATCTCTCTTTCTGGATATTTCATTTAAATGGCCATTCCAATTTCGGTTTCTAATTGCCAATGTCTTCTAATAGTTACCATTTTGTCATAAGTCATGTGACTATTAACCCCCTAGCGCCTCACATGCAGCTTGAGTTATCCGGGGTAATACCAATAGCGCTTTGAGCAAGATATTCACCTTGGAATGAACTATAAAGGTGGACTAGTATTATCATTATCATTCCGATATTGACTTTTGTCCCCAAACCTTCAGAAGGTCCCGTACTCTGGAGAATATTTGTACATAGTGCAGAGGTTGAGACTTGCAGCCACATTTGAAAAGTCAACTTAGAGGCAGGCATAGATATTTCTATAATGTGGATTGATGCATTTTACAACAATCACCTGAAATCAGCCCTTTTTGAAGAAATAATAATGCACCAACTACCACACACCCCCCCCACACCCCCTACACACACACACACACACACACACTCTGCTATTGACTTACACCACATAACCCTCACAGTACGTTAACAAATTGATGCAATGGGTGTTTTCAAAAAGCGTACAATGCACTTCAGATGTACAGTATAGGGCATGTCGGTCGTTCCAGTGACAAATTATCATCAAATCGAATCTAGCAAGCCGATTTGATGTGATTGCTACAATTGACCATTTGTTGATGAAAGTGGTTTGAGATAATACAAATGGTAGCGATTGACAGGTCTGAATGCCACGTCGGGTAATCGACTCCAGATGAGGCTGACAGAAAGGTGATATCTTGGGATGCCATGTCACGCTGAACGTCATATTTCAAATAAGCCGCCGCAAGATATTTACATGTGACAATTGTTATTAACATGTATGCGGAACGGAGGGGCAGACATTACCATATATTGACCAGCTTATTGTCAGTGTAGACCTTAACATTGTAAGGGGAACGGCTGATGGCGTTGAGAGGTTGACATTTGGCTTGTATAGATTTATACCAAGGCAACATATGGTGCCTGCCGCGTCATACGCTATATGGGATAGGCTTCAGCCTTCTGGATGTGTAGGCATCGTCAAAGATAAGCACTACTGCATTAAAAAAGTATTGTCTGAGAATGTGACAGAAATCGACTTTAATGCGTTTTAGTGTGCCAGCTGTCTGTGGGTTGTGGGAGAATGCCATGTGAATGAGTATGGTATTTAGAAATGTTCCAACGACATCCCGATGGGGGTTACCAGAAATGGGCTTCAAATATGGTATGCAGGAGGAAATCGCACCCATGTCCTGTACTAAGTTTTGTTTACTTTGGTTCAACTCGGGTCATTCTCTTATGAAATAACCTTCTGTTAACTAGTCGCTATGAGCATGAAGTTGTTGACTGTCAAAAGCAGGTTGTATCTCACGCCTTATGGCTACATATTTGTTATTCAAGTTTAAAATACAAGAAACACCATGATCTATATAACCATAAGAGATCTTTGTACATTTGTACGATTCCGACTGTACGGTAACCACGTGGCCATGGATCATTACGGGGTAGTAGTAGCATCAGGTGCTGACGAAGGTATATGTATCCTCTTGACCCGGGGTCACAAACACATGCGAAATCAAGTCAAATACTATAGAATGGTCAGTCGGTAGTTGCATAGGAATTAAATGAGAGCGAAACAATATTCGATGTCCACGGAAATGGCCGTTGTTGTATAGAGTGCATTGATATAATACGAGGCGATATGCCCCAGATGGATCATAACAATGCATCACCGGCATGTGGGATCATAACGATGGATTACCAGCGAGATGGATCATACCGATGGATCACCAACAAGATGGATCATACCAAGTGATCATCAGCTGGATAATACCGATGGATCATCAGCCTGCAGAATCATACCGATGGATCACCAGCCTGCAGGATCATACCGATGGATCACCAGCTGGATCAACTTATGATATTGGTATTAGTAGGGGAGGTCAATCATATATTGTATATGGCAACCCCTGGGGTCGAACAAACCTATCTTTTGTTCTGGAGAGTCTATTCAACAGGCCACGGCGAAAGTTTGTCGTGAAGCAGGGTTGTGTGTTGCGGCTATGTCTGCTCTGGGGTATGCTTATTGTCACGGACAATGTTTTCTCAGCTGCTTGTTGTGTTGATGTTGCAGGTGCGTCTTTAGACACCATCGTGGAAGAAAAGGCACCTAACTACACCACCGCCCTCAACGGCAACTGCTCCAAGAATCAGTTCCTCTACTGCGATCTGGAGGCCATCTGTACGGAGCTGGTCAACAACCAGTCCTACTGCAAGTGTCCGGAAGCAAACACTGGTGACGGTCTCAAGAACGGTACTGGCTGTGGAAAAAGTAAGTACTGAGTCGTATATTGCATACAGTCCTTTGTGATCCAGTGCAGCACGTGTCCTACGTGTAAATAATGCACGGTCACGAAGTGCAGCTTCATATCGTAGTAATAGATAACTGGCTAACAAGGTAGTTCATAATGCCAAAATAAATCTGGGGATAATCTGGCAATATACATCGCTTAATCATATTCTTTTATATATATTATCTGTTTATGTGATATGCATCTGGGGTTAAACTGGCAAAACACACCACCAAATCATTTGCTAAAATTACGTTAAGGAAATATCATACCAGCTGGTTCATACGTTGATAGAAGCTAACTGGTAATGTTGGCTGCATATACTATCCTGGTATTAACGTTACTATCATTGACAGTGGTAATATGACGTTCATCATGTTCATAGACAATGGTAATATGACGTTCATCATGTTCATAGACAATGGTAATATGACGTTCATCATACATATAGACAATGGTAATATGACGTTCATCATGTTCATAGACAATGGTAATATCACGTTCATCATACATATAGATAATGGTAATATGACGTTCATCATGTTCATAGACAATCGTAATATGACGTTCATCATACATATAGACAATGGTAATATGACGTTCATCATGTTCATAGACAATGGTAATATGACGTTCATCATACATATAGATAATGGTAATATGACGTTCATCATGTTCATAGACAATGGTAATATGACGTTCATCATACATATAGACAATGGTAATATGACGTTCATCATTCATATAGACAATGGTAATATGACGTTCATCATGTTATAGATAATGGTAATAGACAATGGACAATGGTAATGACGTTCATCATACATATAGACAATGGTAATATGACGTTCATCATACATATAGACAATGGTAATATGACGTTCATCATGTTCATAGACAATGGTAATATGACGTTCATCATACATATAGACAATGGTAATGTGACCTGCATCATTCATATAGACAATGGTAATATGACATGCATCATACATATAGACACTGATAATATGACGTTCATCATACATAAAGACAATGGTAATATGACGTTCATGATCTATATAGACAATGGTAATATGACGTGCATCATACATATAGGCAATGGTAATATGACGTGCATCATACATATAGACATTGGTAATATGACGTGCACCATACATATAGGCATTGGTAATGTGACGTGCATCATACATATAGTGAATGATAATTTGACGTGCATCATACATATAGACAATGGTAATAGGACGTGTATCATACATATAGACAATGGTAATGTGACGTGCATTATGCGTATAGACAATGGTAATATGACGTGCATCATACATTATAGACAATGGTAATATGTCTAAAGGCGTAAGGTCGTGACAGCTGTATTTCAGAAGGGTTAAGGTAATGACAGCTGTATGTCAGAAGGGGCGAGGTCGTGACAGCTGTATGTCTAAAGGCGTAAGGTCGTGACAGCTGTATGTCAGAAGGGTTAAGGTAATGACAGCTGTATGTCAGAAGGGGTAAGGTAGTTACAGCTGTATGTCTAAAGGCGTAAGGTCGTGACAGCTGTATGTCAGAAGGGGCAAGGTACTGACAGCTGTATGTCAGAAGGGGTAAGGGAAGTGACAGACATATGTGATGTGTTGCGCTGATTTTCTCCACAGTTATCTACAACTGCCATGACAACTCGGGCTGCCACCCATATGCCACGTGTGTAAACCGGACATGCAAGTGCAAGGACGGATACAGGGGGAACGGCAACACTTGTAACGGTAATGTAGCTAACATGTTTCAACAGTATTAACGATACTGTATCGGGCATGTTTCAACAGTTTTAACTATACTGTAGCAGGCATGTTTCAACAGTTTTAACTATACTGTAGCAGGCATGTTTCAACAGTATTAACTATACTGTAGCAGGCATGTTTCAACAGTTTTAACTATACTGTAGCAGGCATGTTTCAACAGTATTAACTATACTGTAGCAGGCATGTTTCAACAGTTTTAACTATACTGTAGCAGGCATGTTTCAACAGATACTGTAGCTAACATGTTTCAACATTTCTATCGATGCTGTAGCTGACATTTTCAACAGTTTTATTTATATTGTAACTAATATGTTTCAACAGCTGTATCGGTAAGGAAGCCAACTTGTGGTGTAAAAATTATTGTAGCTTTTCAGATATTGAATAAATAGTTAACATTCCTGATGTACATGTGTTTATGTTGTTCCAGACATCGACGAATGCGACATAGAAAACCCGTGTCCAAAATATTCTTTATGCCACAACGAACCTGGTTCCTATAACTGTACCTGTCAGCCGAGGTTCGAGCGTATAGGGAGCGAATGCATCTGTAAGTCAGACAGACAGAGTTTATTTCCAGTAAAAGGCCGTAGGCCCAAAATACATTCAAAAGGAAATTCCAGTGTAGTCATGGGCACAATGATCATTCAAGTGTGTTTGTAATAATCCTTTGAACATCAAAATAGATCAAGGCAACAGATTTTACAGTGTCTACATTAGTATTCTTGAAAAGATTTGCTAAAGAATATACAGTATAAGGCTTTTTAACACATTTTGTAATAAACCTCTCTCTTAGTTGTGAATAGGATTCATAAATGAACAGTACATGAAATTCATCTTCAATATAGGTAAGACCTTTAGGTTTACACGATGTACAAAATCTTTGATTATAATCAGTGTTGTTATAACGCCCAGTTTCTACAGCTATTTTAAAATTACTACGACTAAATTGTGCTAAAGCAGCTCTTAAATGTGTAGAAAGGTTAAACGATAAATAACGTTCAACATTTAACGCAGCTTTAAAATACTGATAATAGCTGCATTTGGGGGAATTACTAAGGGAAGAGTACCAGGACTGTTTTAAATTATCTGATAATCTTTGTTTAAATAAGCTTATAAACGTCTTTGGCTCAACCAAACATATCCAAAACCAAAATTAAAAAGAAGACTTTTAACTTTTGATGCCCATGTTGTTCTACCACTATCATCTAATGACTTAAGCACAAGGTAGCTTTGAAAAGGCAATCTGTCATGAGAAAGTTGTAACAATCTACACCAATATTTGATTACACGGGTCATATAATTAAACTGCAAGGGCAATCTGCCACATTCACCCAGGGCCATGGAATTACAAGATGACCTATTTATTTTAAGATACGTTTTACAAAAATCAAGCGGTACCGATTCAATACTTTTACAATAAGAAGTTCCCCATATTTCTGAGCCATAGCATAATACTGGTGTGATCAGTGCATCAAAACTTTTGAATAAATCTGTACAGTTAATGTTTCCGAATTTCTTTTGAAGTGATTAACTGATAAAATTGCCTTTCTAGCCTGAGATGCTAAACACAATTATGCGCTCGACCAAACAAGTTTTGGAGTAAATATAATGCCGAGATATTTATAAAAAGATACTGTTTCTATTTGTTCCATATTAAAATACCACTTTTCATAAGATCTAAGAGGCCCTCCATATCTGAAAACAACCACTTTTTTTTTCTTAAGGTTTACATTCATTCCTGTTTCCTTGCAAAATAATTCAAGGGCATTTATCGTTTTCTGCAATTGAATATAAGTGTCTGAAAGAGCCGAAGCATCATCAGCAAACATAAGGGCATACACATTATTGAAAACAGCAGTGATAAATATTCCCTTACCACCTTCACTTTGCATAATTGTGCATAAATGATTAATAAATATTATAAATATCTGAGGGCTTAAAATGCATCCCTGGCGGGTACCCACATTACAAGAAAATTGTTTAGAAAGTCCTTCAGGGGTTCTAACACAGGCACAAAGTGAATTATACATACATGTGATAATATCTAAGAACTTCCCATCTAATCCAACCTTATGAAGAGAATCTATAAGTATATCATGTTTAAGAGTATCTAAAGCTTTTGAAAAATCGATAAAAAGACAATAAAATCTGCCGTTTTTTACATGAATATTTCTGTATGACAGCCTGAAGTGTAAAAATGTGGTCTGTTGTAGAATAGTTTTCCCTAAAGCCAGCCTGATATTCACGAATGATATTATTTAAATCACACCAGATTTTTAATCTTTTATTTAGAATTGATGTAAATAATTCAATGAGGGATATACCGCGGTAATTATCGGGTCGTTCTTGTCGCCAGATTTTAACAAAGGGCAAATTATGCTCTTACCCAAACTGGGAGGGAAATAGCCAGAGTAATAAATTTTGTTAAAAAGAACAGTGAGAGTAGGGACAACTTGTGTAAGTGTATTATACGAAGGACTGTCAGCGATTGTTGGAAACTGATAATAATGCTAATGGCAATGCTGATGGTTATCAGCACCTGGCACAAACCATCCACACAGTCACTATTTACATATCAACTCTTAGAAAGTAAGTGTAACTTGTTTCTAACTTTGTGTCTGATATCTGTTGATTTTTTGCAATATTGATGATTGAATATGACATAGATGATGACATAGATGTCAAATGTGACCTCCGACCCATGCCTGTTTTGCAGTCAAATGTCGCGTGAACCGTGACTGCCACGCGAACGGCAGGTGCGAGAACCAGGAGTGTCAGTGTCTTCCGGGGTTCGCCGGGGACGGCATCGGAAGCTGTGATAGTAAGTGTTGCTACTGTGGCTGTTAGACAGTGTCATAAACGTGTTGGCACATCACACAGTGTCTGTCATAGAGCACACGGAAATACATGATTCTACGAACTATACACTACAGATCACATAATCTCCACTATTTACACTGTAGCAGATTGAACAATTTCATATACTGTTCAGCCAAGAATACGTTTTTCCCTTTGCTCTAAATCAGTTATATACAAGTAATAACTGTATCAGTGTTATACGTTTTATAACCAGTGTGGATGAATATGAGGTGTTATAAAATAATGGTCACGTGCACAGTGTTATATAGGTGCACTTACCGAAGTAGTTATAGAACTATGTAAGTGATTTACCATTCCATAGCTACAAGCACACTGGTATTTGTGATATACCATGACTTAGAGGTGTTTTTGATATTTGACAACAGACATCAACGAGTGCACGGAAGGTTCATTCGAGTGCTCGCCGGACGCCAACTGCCAGGACACAGAGGGGGATTACACGTGCGTGTGTAAAGACGGCTTCAGCGGGGACGGCAAAATATGCGAACGTAGGTCATCTTCTGTAGTTTAGCATAGGAAAAACCCAGCATTCATGAATTTGAACATATGCTTAATAAAGGCAGGGCGTCCTAATGCATTGTCATTGCATAGTTTCGGGACCAAGCACTCTCAATTGTATAATGTCGGGACCAAGCAGTCTCAATTGTATAATGTCGGGACCAAGAACTCTCAATTGTATAATGTCGGGACCAAGCTCTCTCAGTTGTATAATGTCGGGACCAAGAACTCTCAATTGTATAATGTCGGGACCAAGAACTCTCAGTTGTATAATGTCGGGACCAAGCACTCTCAATTGTATAATGTCGGGACCAAGCACTCTCAATTGTATAATGTCGGGACCAAGCACTCTCAGTTGTATAATGTCGGGACCAAGAACTCTCAATTGTATAATGTCGGGACCAAGAACTCTCAATTGTATAATGTCGGGACCAAGCACTCTCAATTGTATAATGTCGGGACCAAACACTCTCAATTGTATAATGTCGGGACCAAGCACTCTCAATTGTATAATGTCGGGACCAAGCACTCTCAATTGTATAATGAGGAAATGGGAATCAACAGAGGGGCATAAAAGGGTGTCCGCCCGGGAAGGCCACATTTGAAAAATACCAATTGCCACTAAAGCCACATTTCAAGTACAAACCTTGGTGCCGCGAAAGCCACAATGAGTAATGGAATCATTTTTTCAAATAAGCGTCACTCATTGATCACAATGGATTAAAATTGTTTTAGTGACTTGTCCTTTGTTTGTTTAGTTAACATATGATGGACAGCTTCTTCATTCTCGTTGAAGTTTCTAGTTAACATATGTTAACATTAATCTTTTTATGTTTATTTTGTTCTTTAATCTTGCATGCTTTTATTGTAGATTGTATTATCTTAATTCCTATGTATAGAATCTCTTCTGAGATGAAATGATGCATGCTGATGGATCATTCTATGGAACAGGGCAATTTCAGCTTTTCCTCTAAGAAATTTCTTTTTCTTTTTTTGTGTATTTTTTGTATTATTTATGTATTCATGTAAACTATTTTGGTTTGTATGATTGGTATATTGCATCAGCAGAGAAATTTGGACAAGAAAGTTCCATACAAATTATTGTGACGTTTCAAGTTTAAATCAAAATGTCATTACCGCAACGGCGGCAAAAATACTGATTTTGGAGAATTTAGTCATACATTTTCCTTAAAAACATCTATGAAATGGAAAGAGTTGTTAGGCGTTACATATGTGGCTGTCTATAAGTATATTTGTGCAATAAATGGGCATTGTTCTAAATTGTTTCAATGCATTTATGATTTTTTGAGTTGTTAGCTTGAATGTAAACATAATAACTCAGGCATCAATAGCTCTTATCTCAAACAGTTATCAGAAAAGGATAAACATTAAATTCTTTAGACCCTCCCATAAGTTAAAAGGCTTCAATGAAATAATTGGCTGTATTATCATAAATAATTCGTAAAAGGTGTGTGATTACCTACGTGAGGCAGCTAGTTTGCGTGATCTGGACTTTTCTCCACGAACAATTCAACTGGATTTATAGATTTTACATAAAGAATATTTCAATATTGGATACCCATTATTTACGGTAACATGAATTAGCTAACAGCGCATTGCGGGAGAGTCACATTCATGCGATCACTCAACCATGCCCATTGCCTGTCGAGCCACACCATTTTCAACTCTGTTTTTCTTAAATGTGGCTTTCCCGGGCTATAATCCATAAAGTACCTTTAATTTGATATGTATCCTATCTGTGTGAACAATGTACATAATGTTTCCACAGATGACAATATAACAATGTTACATGAAATATATAACGTCTATATCTAAGCGTTATTTCGACTATTTGAAATTATGGGACCGTAGAAAAAGTTCTCCATATCAACTGTTTACACTGAACACAATCGGGTAATTTACATATTGATCAATAATGCAGGATTGCCAACAAGCTGCGACGAAATCTTCCGGAACGCCTCCTCCTCGCCGTCTGGGAAGTACATCATCGACACCGACGGCACTGGACCCGTCAAAGCTGTCGAGGTTAGTTTACCACATACCTGTGGAGTACCATAGGGCCATCTTAATGTCGAACTTCTTGCGATCTGGATCTTTTGAGACATACTAAATATTGCAAATGTGCCAGAATAAAAGATTTTGTAAAATTATTGCACTTTTTCAATTTAGTTAGTTTGTCAGTCAGTCAGTTAGTTAGTCAAAACCGTTAAATTTCAAATATCGCGAAAATGCGAAGTCTCTTAGTGTCTCCCATAGATGCCACAACAACTGTTACACATACTTCAGTTAAATCAACCCAGCCGTTTCATCGACAGGGAATTGACCTTGATGTACTGTTTCCTGGTGCAGCTGTTGTTTTACATCACACATACATATACCACGAGAAGTGTCCTTGAGTGGTCTGTACTAAAGGTCTGGTCCACTGAACGATTCCCAATATACCAAAAAAGAAAGGCATAGCTGGAATCATCAAGACATATCTTCTGTTCCATATGGTACTGGCCAATACAATGATGTGGTCATATCAGCTAGACAGTAGACGATCAGCTCTAACGGACTCTACTGGCTGTGGGGATGGGAAGGTGGCACACTAGATCGTTAATTTAGGTTACAATTACAATTTTAGAGCGAGCGTTACTGATATTGGGCAAAAAACATCTCTGTTGGTCAGACATGCATGAACTATTCGAGTCAAGTCTTATAAGTCGACCAATGCCATCATGTTGTTCCACGCGTCATTGAGAAAGACACCGAGCTTATTTCGATTACTGTTTTTTTACAAGTTTTTACACATCTTCGAAATACGTCCCAGACGAGTTCAATAGGGTAAAGGTCAAGACTGAGTGCTGTCCATGGAGTGACATAGACATTTGGACACGTCTGCCAATGACGTCCCTGACGTGTTCAATAGGGGAAAGGTCAAGACTGAGTGCTGTCCATGAAGTGACATAGACATTTGGACACGTCTGCCAGTTACGTGGCAGGCGTGTTCAATAGAGGAAAGGCCAAGACTGAGTGCTGGACAAAGAGTGACAATCGGACATCTCTAAAGTCGATTACGTCCGTCACTAAATTCAAGATCGCAATATTAGAAAACGCAATATTAGCCCTACGTTGATCATCCAAGTGCTGACGTTCCCTAGTCCACCCTACGTTGATCATCCAAGTGCTGACGTTCCCTAGTCCACCCTACGTTGATCATCCAAGTGCTGACGTTCCCTAGTCCACCCTACGTTGATCATCCAAGTGCTGACGTTCCCTAGTCCACCCTACGTTGATCATCCAAGTGCTGACGTTCCCTAGTCCACCCTACGTTGATCATCCAAGTGCTGACGTTCCCTAGTCCACCCTACGTTGATCATCCAAGTGCTGACGTTCCCTAGTCCACCCTACGTTGATCATCCAAGTGCTGACGTTCCCTGTTGTCCAAGTGCTCCACTACGTTGATCATCCAAGTGCTGACGTTCCCTAGTCCACCCTACGTTGATCATTCAAGTGCTGACGTTCCTAGTCCACCCTACGTTGATCATCCAAGTGCTGACGTTCCCTAGTCCACCCTACGTTGATCATCCAAGTGCTGACGTTCCCTAGTCCACCCTACGTTGATCATCCAAGTGCTGACGTTCCCTAGTCCACCCTACGTTGATCATCCAAGTGTTGACGTTCCCTAGTCCACCCTACGTTGATCATCCAAGTGCTGACGTTCCCTAGTCCACCCTACGTTGATCATCCAAGTGCTGACGTTCCCTAGTCCACCGAGTGCTGATGTCCCTGATTCAAATAACGTACAAGTTGTCGGATGACACATGGACGTGCATGTGTCGGCGCATGTACTTTTACTGCAATTGCCTGTGGCAACCGATTTCTGACATGATTGGCAGTTTCCAGGCGTTTTCCTAATGCCATTATTCTGACCTATCTGTGTTGAGCTTGTGGTGTTGCCCTCTGGCGGCCAGAGCGGCATAGATCATCAGCGTTATGTATTAGCGGGTGTCAGACCTAAAATCTGCAGGTGACAGATTGAGAAACATGTCGCGTTTTGCCAGCAATCGTGCTACAGGTTCCCACGTAAAACATGCCGATGGAGCGGAAATGTTCAGAAGGATGCCAACGAGGCATGATAAATACGTTCCAGGCCTAATGATTAACTGTGTGTGGTTGGTGTAAAATATGTGCTAATTATGTGACCGGCATGTATTCACTTGCAGGAAACAGGGTAAATGTTATTCATATTATGTTGATTCTGTTTTAGGTGACTTGTGACATGCGCAAAGATATGGGCATCACTGTGATTTATCCAAATGACGAGAATGTCAGGAAGTCCAAGGGGAGCGGCGAGGATCTCCCTGTGCCTTACACTGCCACACCCGACCAGATCAAACCTCTGGTGGATGGATCTCAGTTCTGTTCTCAGGAGTTCTGGTTTGTTCCTTTGTAAATGTGTGTGGTCCGTGTTATTGTGCCACCTGAATATGTGATTCATCTCGTTGTGTCCTCTGTGTGATCCCTCTTGTTGTGCCATCTGAGTGTATGATCCTTCTTGTTGTGCCATCTGAGTGTATGATCCTTCTTGTTGTGCCATCTGAGTGTATGATCCTTCTTGTTGTGCCATTTGTGTGCTCCCTCTTGTTGTGCCATCTGAGTGTATGATCCTTCTTGTTGTGCCATCTGAGTGTATGATCCTTCTTGTTGTGCCATCTGAGTGATCCTTCTTGTTGCGCCATTTGAGTGTATGATCCTTCTTGTTGTGCCATCTGAGTGATCCTTCTTCTTGTGTCATTTGAGTGTATGATCCTTCTTGTTGTGTCATTTGTGTGCTCCTTCTTGTTGTGCCATTTGAGTGTATGATCCTTCTTGTTGTACCATCTGAGTGATCCTTCTTGTTGTGTCATTTGAGTGTATGATCCTTCTTATTGTGTCATTTGTGTGCTCCTTCTTGTTGTGCCATTTGAGTGTATGATCCTTCTTGTTGTGCCATCATCTTGTTGTGTGTATGATCCTTCTTGTTGTGCCATCTGTTTGTGCCATCTGAGTGTATGATCCTTCTTGTTGTGCCATCTGTTTGTATGATCCTTCTGCCATCTTGATCCTTCTTGTTGTGCCATCTGTGTGTATCCTTCCTTGTTGTGCCATCTGTGTATGTGTATGATCCTTCTTGTTGTGCCATTGTGTGTGATCCTTCTTGTTGTGCCATCTGAGTGTATGATCCTTGTTGATCCCTTCTTGTTGTGTCATCTGTGTCTCCTTCTTGTTGTGTCTGTGTGTATGCCATCTGAGTGTATGATCCTTCTTGTTGTGCCATCTGAGTGTATGATCCTTCTTGTTGTGCCCTTTTGTGTGATCCTTCTTGTTGTGCCATCTGTGTGTATGATCCTTCTTGTTGTGCCATCTGTGTGCCTTCTGTGTGTATGATCCTTCTTGTTGTGCCATCTGTGTGCTCCTTCTTGTTGTGCCATCTGTGCCAGTGTATGATCCTTCTTGTTGTGTGTGATCCTTCTTGTTGTGATCCTTCTTGTTGTGCCATCTGAGTGTATGATCCTTCTTGTTGTGCCATCTGATCCTTCTTGTTGTGTGTGTGTATGATCCTCCTTCTTGTTGTGCCATCTCATCCTTGTGATCCTTCTTGTGTGATCCTTCTTGTTGTGCCATCTGAGTGTGTGATCCTTCTTGTTGTGCCCATCCTTCTTGATCCTATTGTTGTGCCATCTGTGTGATCCTTCTTGTTGTGCCATCTGAGTGTATGATCCTTCTTGTTGTGTCATCTGTGTGCTCCTTCTTGTTGTGCCATCTGAGTGTATGATCCTTCTTGTTGTGCCATCTGAGTGTATGATCCTTCTTGTTGTGCCATCTGAGTGTATGATCCTTCTTGTTGTGCCATCCTTCTGTGCCATCTGTGTGATCCTTCTTGTTGTGCCATCTGATCCTTCTTGTGTGATCCTTCTTGTTGTGCCATCTGAGTGTATGATCCTTCTTGTTGTGCCATCTGTGTGCTGATCCTTGTTGTGCCATCTGATCCTTCTGTGTATGATCCTTCTTGTTGTGCCATCTGTGTGATCCTTCTTGTTGTGCCATCCTTCTGCCATCTGTGCTGATCCTTCTTGTTGTGCCATCTGAGCCATCTGAGTGTATGATCCTTCTTGTTGTGCCATCTGTTTGTGTGATCCTTCTTCTTGTTGTGCCATCTTGTTTGTGCCATCTGTGTGATCCTTCTTGTTGTTGTTGTGCCTTCTTGTTGTGCCATCTGAGTGTGTGATCCTTCTCCTTCTTGTTGTGCCATCTATGTGTATGATCCTTATTGTTGTGCCATCTGTGTGTATGATCCTTCTTGTTGTGCCATCTGATCCTTCTTGTGTATGATCCTTCTTGTTGTGCCATCTATGTGTATGATCCTTCTCCCTTTTGTTGTGCCATCTGAGTGTATGATCCTTCTTGTTGTGCCATCTGTGTGTATGATCCTTCTTGTTGTGCCATCTGTGTGCTCCCTCTTGTTGTGCCATCTGAGTGTATGATCCTTCTTGTTGTGCCATCTGTGTATGATCCTTCTTGTTGTGCCATCTGTGTGATCCTTCTTGTTGTGCCATCTGAGTGTATGATCCTTCTTGTTGTGCCATCTGAGTGTGTGATCCTTCTTGTTGTGCCATCTGTGTGATCCTTCTTGTGCCATCTGTGTGATCGTTCTTGTTGTGCCATCTGTTTGTGTGATCCTTCTTGTTGTGCCATCTGTGTGATCCTTCTTGTTGTGCCATCTGTTTGTCTGATCATTCTTGTTGTGTCATCTGTGTGCTCCTTCTTGTTGTGACATCTGTGTGATCCTTCTTGTTGTGCCATCTGTGTGATCCTTCTTGTTGTGACATCTGTGTGATCCTTCTTGTTGTGCCATCTATGTGGATGATCCTTGTTGTTGTGACATCTGTGTGATCCTTCTTGTTGTGCCATCTGTTTGTGTGATCCTTCTTGTTGTGCCATCTGTGAGCTCCTTCTTGTTGTGCCATCTGTTTGTGTGATCCTTCTTGTTGTGCCATCTGTTTGTGTGATCCTTCTTGTTGTGCCATCTGTATGATCCTTCTTGTTGTGCCATCTGTTTGTGTGATCCTTCTTGTTGTGCCATCTGTGTGATCCTTCTTGTTGTGCCATCTGTTTGTGTGATCCTTCTTGTTGTGCCATCTGTGTGTGTGATCCTTCTTGTTGTGCCATCTGTATGATCCTTCTTGTTTGCCATTGTGCCATCCTTCTTGTTGTGATCCTTGATCCTTCTTGTTGTGACATCTGTGTGATGATCCTTGTTGTGCCATCCTTCTTGTTGTGCCATCTGTTTGTGTGATCCTTCTTGTTGTGCCATCATTGTGTGATCCTTCTTGTTGTGCCTGTGAGCTCCTTCTTGTTGTGCCATCTGTTGATCCATCTTCTTGTTGTGTGATCCTTCTTGTTGTGCCATCTGTTTGTGTGATCCTTCTTGTTGTGCCATCTGTGTGTGTGATCCTTCTTGTTGTGCCATCTGTATGATCCTTCTTGTTGTGCCATCTGTTTGTGTGATCCTTCTTGTTGTGCCATCTGTTTGTGTGATCCTTCTTGTTGTGCCATCTGAGTGTATGATCCCTCTTGTTGTGCCATCTGTGTGATCCTTCTTGTTGTGCCATCTATGTGGATGATCCTTGTTGTTGTGACATCTGTATGATCGTGCCATTTGAGTGTATGATCCATTTCGTTGTGACATTTTGTGATCCTTCTTGCTGTGTCATCTGTGTGTATGATCCTTCTTTCAATGTCATCTGTGTGTGTGTGGTAAATCTATTGCTATCTGAGAGTATCATCCATCTTGGTGTTCCATCTGAGTGTCTGACGGATCGCATGTCTCTGAGTGTGGTTGACCGACAGCAGCTTACAGTGTTGCGACCTTTTGTTTTGAATAAAAGGTACGATGTGAGCTTGGCCTGAAGTGATATTGTAGCATACCTACAAGTGAACCTTGAGTGACTTGGATATGTGAAGCTCACCTGATATGATGATGATAGGATATTTATATAGCGCACATATCCACGCAACTAGTACGTACTCAAGGCGTTTGAGTGTTCCCTTGATCAACGGATTATTTCTGGCATTCTTCTAACCAGCTCAACTCCCTGGGGAGTATTCAACTCATGCAGCCTGTTAGGCGCAGCGAGTTATCACACAGCCTCATCCTCACAAGGTACCCATTTGCAGCTGGGTGTACTGGGACACATATCCACAGTATTTTGTCCAATGATACTGCACGTTACTATACCCGCAACTGGGTGTCTGCGCGTGTCCACCATCTGGTCACCTACTGTCGGATGAGTGGGGTCTTTTAAGTGCACAGGGTTGTGTACTGCAGACTAGGGGTTGTGACAACACTGGAAGAGCCTGCAAGTAATGTGAGCTCCAAGGTTTTTACACCCGGTCACAAGTGGGGATCGATCCAGGCACCTTTCGCTTACTAGCGCGGCGCCTGAGACAGCTCGCCCACCATGCTCCCAATGACATAACAATGTGATGTGGTTTCACCTGACCCCCAAGGTGTTGACATGATTCCTCGGGAAGGTGATATACCGGATTGTGACGTTTGCAGGATAAAGTGTGCTTCATACTACGACCTTGCGGCCCATGTTTCCTGGACAGACGACAAGAACAACACACGCACTGGCTGGGGAACATCACACCAGGGCACGGTAAACCAGTCCTTCATGAGACTTGCTCTAAGTCTGTAAATATATATATACACATGGAACTAAATTAAGCTGCCCCCCCCCCCGATATATTTTTCGCATTATGAAACTGAGCAGCCATAACCATTAGAATGTATACTGGAAAGCTTAAACGTCATTGTTTCCTGAACGTTGACATTTTGGACTAAACAATAACAACAAAATCATAAAAAATTGCAATATTTTAATTGACAAAATGAATGAAAATGTCAACGATGTTTTGTCAACAACATGTATCCCTGTACAACTATGGGGCTGCAGAATTCCAATATGGGAGAGGTGAGTGTCTCTCAGTCTGAAAATGTTCTCTGTCATCCCTCAGAGAACAAAAACACATGAAAACTGTTAATAGCGTGCATATCCACCTTGTGCTTTGGCCCTCCTCCTCATGCTTGTCGTGAGTCTCCGGATTCGCTCCAGAGGCAGCTGCTGCCACTCCCGGCAAAACATGCCAGATCTTGTACAGGCGGGTCAAGTGCTTGCACACGGCGTCCATGAATGCCGGAGACAGGCTCCAATGGGTTCAGATCCAGGCTCATAGCAGGCCATGGAAGTTTGGTTACATCGTTGTTGGAGAAAAACTGTCACAAGTCGGGGACGATCTGGTCGGGCGTTGTCATCCATAAATACAGGGCGAGTGGCTAATGGGTGGTTATCAAAATAAGGCACAAGAACAGGATTCAGAATGTCCCGGATGTCGTGAGATTTCCACGAACAGTTTCCAAGTCCAGTTTACAATCATGGGAGAGACAACCCCAGACCATGACAGATCCACCACCGTAAGGAACTGATGCTCTGATGTTCTTAGGCTCATAGGCACTGTTCTTGGTCCTCCAGACACTCAGTCCTATGCAGTCCTATTGCACAGAGGTAGTTTCTTCTGGTAGTTTCCTTCATGCCACTGTAACAGATACTGGTAAAATCATTAAAAGGTTTTGGCGTTTTATACAGTTAGCCGCATTGAGTTAATAGTGATTTTTGAGACAATCGTGGGTAGTGTGCTTCAACTGCATAGTGGGGTGTGTTTTGGCGATTGATTTAGAAAAACCCTTAAACAATATTGAAAGGAGATACAGTTCAAATAAAATATGTTAGGGGGTGCTTAGTTAAGTTCCATGTGTACAGTTTTGATAGTAACTAACAAACCCATTTAAACTGAAAAGGAGCCTTCCTATATTTAGGGCTTTAGCACTGCAGTGAGGGCTTGGCAGTAGGGGAAATATTATGTTTCAGGGACTGTGAGACGGACTAGTATGTGATGTATAAATGTATTTCTCCTTGTCTCCTTGAGATGCAGCAATGGTTTACACTAGTTTGCCCACGACATGAATACGTTTTCTGTTGCTGGCGACCAACCAAATTTATCGATATTTAACTTTGATGAAATACATGTATGGTGCTGAAAAACCTAAAAACAAATCGGAGGAACAGGGATTCGAACCCCTGATCTTAAATGTCTTGCTTGTAAAAGTGACGCAACTCTAACAGACATACGTGAACGGATGAAGGGAAAAAAATAAAGGGACAGGGTGAAGGGGCAGATAAAGGGGAATGGTAAAAGTCACAAATAGGCGGAGAGGATGACGGGGACAGAAGAACAAAGAAACCAATCGGCGAAAAAGGGATTCGAACCCGCTATCCGGCTTGCTAAAGGGATACAACTTTGCCACCCCTACGCTTCTGCTGATACATATTTTATCGCTAAACTTCCTGTTTCTCTGTCGCTGTTATAATAAAGTTTTCTTGTTACATGTTCAGTGTCCGTGCGGCGTACTCGGAGTGTGTAGAAACCCTAAAAGTGTCTGCAACTGTGACGGACAAAACCCCTCTCGGTCAATTGATACAGGTATCATTGTGGACAAGGCCGAGCTTCCTGCTGTAGAAGTGAAGTTTGACAACAATGGTCGAATTGTAGACTGGACAGTTGGACCTTTAAAGTGCGGACCTAAACCAATAGGTGAGTCTGCAGGATCATAATGATGATGATGATGATGATACTGATGACGACGATGATGATAATGATGATGGTGGATGATGATGATGATGATGATGATGATGATGATGAAGATGGCGGTGGTGATGACGATGACGACGACGAAACTTGATTACATAGATACTTAAATGGATATTGTATAAGTTTGATGTCACTTATTTTCAGATATTCTCAAGAACTGCCACGAGATAAAGCAGAAGCTGAAGGTGAAGCTGAGTGGTCCACAGCTCATTGACGTGGACGGCCCCAACGGCCCCCTCGATCCCATCCTCGTTCACTGCGACATGGAATCTAATCCAAACCTCGGGATCACAGTCATACCTCATGACGGGTAGGTGTCTCACTCTCAAATCGAGGCCTGGTGTCACGATCATGCCTTGTGAAGGGTAGGTGTCTCACTTTCAAAACGAGGCCTTGTGTCACGATCATGCCTTGTGAAGGGTAGGTGTCTCACCGTGCCTGGTGTCACGATCATATCTTGTGAAGGGTAGGTGTCTAACTCTCATATCGAGGCCTGGTGTCACGATCATGCCTTGTGAAGGGTAGGTGTCTCACTCTTATATTGAGGCCTGGTGTCACGATCATGCCTTGTGAAGGGTAGGTTTCTCACCATGCCTGTTGTCACGATCATGCCTTGTGAAGGGTAGGTGTCTAACTCTCAAATCGAGGCCTGGTGTCACGATCATGCCTTGTGAAGGGTAGGTTTCTCACCATGCCTGGTGACACGTTCATGCCTTGTGAAGGGTAGGTGTCTCACTCTCAAATCGAGGCCTGGTGTCACGATCATGACTTGTGAAGGGTAGGTGTCTAACTCTCAAATCGAGGCCTGGTGTCACGATCATGCCTTGTGAAGGGTAGGTTTCTCACCATGCCTGGTGACACGATAATGCCTTGTGAAGGGTAGGTGTCTAACTCTCATATCGAGGCCTGGTGACACGATCATGCATTGTGAAAGGTAGGTGTCTCACTCTCATATCGAGGCCTGGTGTCACGATCATGACTTGTGAAGGGTAAGTGTCTCACTCTCATATCGAGGCCTGGTGTCGAGATCACGCCTGGCAGGTGTGTTGTATTTTTTAGTACTGACAGTCGCCCATGTATCTACATTCACTGGTTGTATCTTCTCTGACTCATCTACACTTGTGCTCCAGGAATGAGGAAGTTGAGTTCACTGAAACGGGGTCCAAGCCTATCAACTACCTCGTTCCGCTCCCGGCCGTTGAAGCACTCATCAAGGGATCTGTTTTCTGTGACCAGTCATGGTCTTATGAATGCCAGGTAAGGTTCTCAGTATCAAAGTCGCTCACATGTGACGTACGTGGGGTGGATGGGGCGAGATGGAGGGACATAGGGAAGCGGCAGTTGCGGGGTGGGGTGAATGGAGCAGATTAAGGAGCAGATGAAGGGAACATGGATAGGGAGAAGAGGACAGATAAAGAGACTGGTGACAGGCAAAATAGTGTTGAGTATGGTATGTGTGAACTTTCATGAAAAATCAAATATTGTTTTTCCTTCGATAACTTACCTAGGTTAACACAAGCGCGTATTCTGTAAACCTGCCATCATGTTCCTAAACTGGTCTGTGATCTGTTCCTACAGAACGGCAAACAGGATGTAAAGGTGGGAATTGGTCAAGATGGCCGCCCCCTCAGCTACCTCCCCGGGGGTCTTCCCGATGAGGACGGGTCCTGTGGGTGTGGCGTGACAGACACGTGTGAGGAGCGTGGCTCCAAATGTAATTGTGCCATAGATGACGGTAAAACCAGGAAGGACTTCGGGATCCAGATCGACAGGAACGATCTTCCTATCGTGTCCGTCAACGTGTCATTCAATGGGCAAAAAAAGGGAGTGTCGTTCGTGGGCCCTATCCGCTGCAGCAATGAACAGTTCGGTGCGTCCATAACTAGTCTCACCATCCTGAAGGCATTCTTATTCCATGTTTCAGCTCTTCCTGTATTTGACCCGTGAAGATTCGGGTTAGAATCCTGATCTTCAATAACCCATGCTTGTCGTAAAAGGCGACTAACGGGATCGGGTGGTCAGGCTCGCTGACTTGGTTGACACATGTCATCGGTTCCCAATTGAGCAGATCAATGCTCATGCTGTTGATCACTGGATTGTCTGGTCCAGACTCGATTATTTACAGACCGCCGCCATATAGCTGGAATATTGCTGAGTGCGGCGTAAAACTAAACTCACTCACTCACTCCTCCTGTATTTGTTCAGTTTTCATATTTAATTTCATGAATTTATCAAAATTTAAAAGGCTTTTGAAATGACAGCATTTTGCATTTTGAAACAGAACACAGGCATGATGCCGGCAAACCTAGATACATAATGGTGATGAACAGGGATTCGAACCCATGACCATAGGTGTGTGGCTTCATAAGGGACGCAAGGCGACTACCCCATCAATGTCCTTTTAATGTCTTGCAGAAGATAGATAAATGCTGATATTTGTTGATGACATGGTGCTCGTTGTTCAGGAATCGAGGCCAACTGCGAGAAGTACAGGTCAGTGGGTAAACAGGACAGCTACACATATCTTATTGATCCTGACGGTCCACCCACAGACGGAAACGGTGAGGATATCTCCCTCATAACCTAGTTATTATATGTTATAGCCACATTAATGTCGATACTTCGCAGTGTGTACACTGCACTTGTGGATACAACATTTCCTTTATAATATACTACCCATCAAAAGTTTAGACTCACTTAAAGCACTCACTACATGTTATGTATATATATACGGCTACATCGAAGATGAATTTCTCCACTAACTTAGGGGAACCATCTGCAAACCTTATGCTGATGAATTGCACGAGGATCATGCATCAGTTTTCTGAAAAGCATGTGTAAATATCATGCATGTGAACAGCTGCGTTTTGGAGAAAAGGTTTGTTAAGAATTCGCCAATTTTCACAGAGTTTCATGATTGATTGAACTCATGAAAATATTTTGTTCAACGTTACGAATTTATTTTTCAATACATCAGTTCATGTGTAAACAGTACCTTTAATAATTATGGAATATTCACCCAAATCTAGTTTAGAACAGTTGACTGAAGTAAGTGGCTACATTTACACTAGTGAGTCTAAACTTTTGATGGGTAGTATAGTATCTACGTTTTACCTCGTGTTATCTAAACACTAAATTGTATGACACGTATGAAAAAAATGTGTGTTTCCATAATAATCATTTTATAGCTTCTTGGAAAGGAAACCCAAACATAGTTTGTTCGTTTAGCCTGTTTTGCCCAAAAAAAGTTCGCTCAAACACAACATTGAAATCTAGATCCACGTCCATCATGAATGCATTGAGGCATAAATTGCCGGCTTGAATGGCAATCGTTCACTTGTTTTGTGAACACAGCAGCTATGGCTAGGTTAACGTGAGGTATTGATGGACGATATGACGGTCTTGGCGACGTGTTGTTATACGGGGTCGACCACTACATGGACGGTCATCATGATGTTCCCTGGCACTGTGCAAAGTTTTCTGCTGTAATCCAGCGGGGAAAAGTCACATAGTGTTAGAATTAGAAATCCTTGATTTTGGTTGCCATCTTGGACGCCATCTTGGATTTTTCGGAAAATCGGCCTAAAAATCGGGCACCCCCAAAAATATGTTCTATAGACGTTCTATCGTTCGTTCTCTGCAACTGAAGTCAATAGCAATGACTCGAGCACATTGACGTCCAATGGCTTGTTGTCGTTGATCTCTCGTTAACCTAGCCATAGCTGCTGTGTTCAGAAAACAAGTCAACGATTGCCATTCAAGCCGGCAATTTATGCCTGAATGCATACATGATGCACGTGCATCTCGATTTCAGTGTTCATTAGCTTCAAATACCCCATTGATACTTAAATGTCATTTCCAATATTGCGACGTTTATTTTACCTTTCAGTATATGATTCAATCTGCCATGCTTCATGTTTTCAGCTATAACCATTTAAGACCAATTTACATTATTATTTAACTTCATCATTGCTGTTAGATTCTGTTAGAGTTCTTATCTGCTAATCTGTGTTACAACTGAGTTCTACAAGTTCTCCTTGCCGATGAATGCAAAATTTCCTGAATCTCATGGCAGAGACTATGGTTTGTTCACAAAACAGACTACAGAGTCTCTTCCTGGAAATGTGACAGTTTGTCACAAACATTGACGACATACACGTTAGCTAACCTTGTAGCGTCGTTGCAGGCAGAAAGGCAAGATGGCGACCATGGTGTGAGTAGCAACTGGACAGGTTACATTCTGTGGCCTGTGACCAGGTCGCAGCAATGGTCTGCTTATTCAAGACCATTTTGCATTGTCTTATATTTGTATCTTTTTGAAAACCAGTTATTCCAATCCTGCGGTTGTTTGACGATTTTGTGTTACTTACATTTTCATAACAATACTGGTTTTTTCAACATCCACTTTACCCGATCCGCCATGTCAATGATTGTCATCCTCCCTACCAATCATTCCATGTTATAGGATCTGCTCCATGGCACTGTTCCTTACTGTAACCATCACCTTGACCTTCCAAATGTCCTTGCCTTTATATGTCTATCTATACAATGGACCATGAACACAGACGTCACTGCCCACGAGGTCACTGCCCAGAAGTTGACCTTGACACTGCTGTTGCGCCAACAGCAATAGGAGGTTGTGCTACAGAAAGTCATTCTCTGGTTTATATGATGGACGGTGTGTAATGAATGACGCTACGTCACATCTTTGTGCTACATGGAATTGTATTCAGATTGTGATTACAAAATCAATTTTATTTCTATTTGTAACAAATGAAGCGTTATCCCACTGAATTCGAGATGTATTGTCCTGTAGCTATACTTTCCTAGACTGTCATAAAGAAAACGATATTTATTCTCAAACCTCCTCTTGACTGATATCTTTTTCAGGTAACGTCTATAGACGTAAGTCAACATATTTCTAGTGTTCTCGAATTAGTCATCACTGTCTAGGTTAAACTGCACATATATCCTTTACTTGATGTACATTGGTATAACCTAGATATAGTTATAGTTTTGTGGTCTGCATTTGTACTTCTGTATGGGTCGTACAGTTTATTACTGACTTGAAGAATCAGCTCATTGGTGTATCACTGAGATATCGACTTAGTTCTGGAAATGTCTCTCTCTCTCTCGCTCTCTCGCTGTAGTCTGTATAACATAGATCTAGTTATAGTTTGTGGTCGTTGTACTTCTATACGAGTCGTACAGTTTGTAACTTTCTTGCTCTGAAGAGTTGTCGCTCATTGGTGTATTAATGATAAATAGACTTAGTCCCGAACAGTTCTCGCTCGTAATTCCTCATACATATATTCCTTCAGTTCTGTAACTGTTTGATCAGTGTATAATGAATACATTGACTCGTTTTGCTCTGCAACAGTTCTCCAACTACACTATCGCTGATAGATACACGCCCCTGTAATATCTGGACTCTCAGCTCCGGAGCCGTTCACGCTCATCACTGAATTGCCTTTACAAATACTCTTTAAGTTATGGAACTGTTGTCTCCAATTATTGTATTGCTGGCAAACAGGTTCTCTTTGTTGTCGAACTGCTCCAGAACATCCGAATATATGTAATATAGTCTCTCCACTTCCTCTCACTTTCTTAGTGAAACTCTCCAACTGCTGATAAACAGTCGCTGTTGGCTCTGGAACTGTTCTCAGTCATCCTTGTCTTACTGAAATACAGAGCTGAAAAACGATTCTCTCCACCTGGTGTCTCTCTGAACTCTGTAGCTGTTCTCATCTGTACGCTACTGATATATAGCCAGCACTAGCTCTCGAATTGTTTTCTCTAATTGTCGTAATGTTGATAAGCGTTCTCTTAAGTCTGGAATCTGTTTTTCTATCATCGGCGTTTTGTCGATCTACAGACCGTTTATCTCCAATTATTGGATACGTTCTGAAATCTGGATCTATATATCTCCCGTGCGTGGAGCTGATGTATGTGAAGGCTAGAACTGTTTTCTGTCATTGATGTGTGTAGTTGCACAGTGCAATACAGATGTATAGATGTTCGCGTTGTGGATTTATGTCTGGTTAATTGTAGAATTGATATGTCAGTCTTCAAATCACACGTTGAAACATGCTTAGCTATAACACTTTGAACGTACTTTTGAATACTGCTGTTTGAACCTGCGTTTGGGCCGTACTGACATTAATCAGCAGGCCCACGCCATAGATGATGGTTGTGTATTCGACAGTGTAGAACCCAAGAAAGGTTATCGTCTGATATGCATTGCACGATCTGTGAATTTTAAGATGTTAATGATTTCATGTGGCCGCTACATAAGTATGATCAAGTCACATTCCCAAGTCTGTTCTCTTATACGCAGGATAGGGAAATGTGTATTCACTGTCCTCGTATTGTCGAATGTCGTCTTTGAATTTCAAAGCTTAATCTTGTATAACTATGTGATATTTCAGGACGGAAGAAGAGGGGTAAGTCAGTCTTCTGCTGTGACATGATTTGCTTGTTACCTTGTTCTACTTATAGTGTCTAGTTTTTCATTCTGGCGTGTGTAAAGGGTCTAGATAAACATAATAGGTGTACTTGAAAGGCCTAGATAAACATAATAGGTGTACTTAAAGGGCCCCGATAAACATAATAGGTGTACTTGAAGGGCCTAGATAAACATAATAGGTGTACTTGAAGGGCCTAGATAAACCTAATAGGTGTACTTAAAGGGCCCCGATAAACATAATAGGTGTACTTGAAGGGCCTAGATAAACATAATAGGTGTACTTAAAGGGCCCCGATAAACATAATAAGTGTACGTGAAGGGCCCCGATAAACATAATAGGTGTACTTAAAGAGCCTAGATAAACCTAATAGGTGTACGTGAAGGCCCCCGATAAACATAATAGATGTAATTAAAGGGCCTAGATAAACATAATAGGTGTACTTAAAGATAAACAAAATGGGTGTACTTAAAGGGTCTAGATAAACATAATAGGTGTACTTAAAGGGTCTAGATAAACATAATATGTGTACTTAAAGGGCCTAGATAAACATAATATGTGTACGTGAAGGGCCTTGATAAACATAATAGGTGTACTTCAAAGGGCCTTGATAAACACAATAGGTGTACTTAAAGATAAACAAAATAGGTGTACTTAAAGGGTCTAGATAAACATAATAGGTGTACTCAAAGGGCCTAGATAAACATAATATGTGTACTTAAAGGGCCTAGATAAACATAATATGTGTACGTGAAGGGCCTTGATAAACATAATAGGTGTACTCAAAGGGTCTAGATAAACATAATATGTGTACTTAAAGGGCCTTGATAAACATAATATGTGTACTTAAAGGGTCTAGATAAACATAATACGTGTACTTAAAGGGCCTAGATAAACCTAATAGGTGTACTTAAAGGGCCCCGATAAACGTAATATGTGTACGTGAAGGGCCTTGATAAACATAATAGGTGTACTTAAAGAGGCTAGATAAACAGGTGTCCTTAAACGGTATAGATAAACATAATAGTGTACTTAAAGGGCCTAAATAAATATAATAGGTGTACGTAAAGGGCCTAGATAAACATAACGGATTTACTCAAGAGCCTAAGTGGATAAAGATAAACAATAGGTGTACTTAAAGGAGCCTAGATAAACATAATATGTGTACTTAAAGGAACCTAGATAAACATAATAGGTGTACTTAAAGGGCCTAGATAAACCTAATAGGTGTACTTAAAGGGCCCTTGATAAACATAATAGGTAACTGTATAGACTAGATAAAAGGTGTACTTAAAGGGTCTAGATAAACATAATAGGTGTACTTAAAGGGCCTAGATAAACATAATATGTGTACTTAAAGGGCCTAGATAAACATAATAGGTGTACTTAAAGGGCCTAGATAAACATAATACGTGTACTTAAAGGGCCTAGATAAACATAATAGGTGTACTTAAAGGGCCCCGATAAACATAATAGGTGTACTTAAAGGGCCTAGATAAACATAATAGGTGTACTTAAAGGGCCTAGATAAACCTAATAGGTGTACTTAAAAGGCCCCGATAAACGTAATAGGTGTACTTAAAGTGCCTACATAAACATAATAGGTGTACTTAAAGAGGCTAGATAAACAGGTGTCCTTAAACGGTATAGATAAACATAATAGGTGTACTTAAAGGGCCTAAATAAATATAATAGGTGTACGTAAAGGGCCTAGATAAACGTAACGGATTTACTCAAAGAGCCTGGATAAACCTAATAGGTGTACTTAAAAAGCCTAGATAAACAAAGTTGGTGTACTAAAAGAACCTAGATAAACATAATATGTGTACTTAAAGGGCCTAGATAAACCTAATAGGTGTACTTAAAAGGCCCCGATAAACGTAATATGTGTACGTGAAGGGCCTTGATAAACATAATAGGTGTACTTAAAGGGTCTAGATAAACATAATAGGTGTACTTAAAGAGCCTAGATGAACATAATATGTGTACTTAAAGGGCCTAGATTAACATAATGGGTGTACTTAAAGAGGCTAGATAAACATAATATGTTTACTTAAAGGGCCTAGACAAACATAAAAGGTGTACTTAAAGGGCCTAGATAACGGGTGCACTTGAAGCGCCTAGATAAACGTAATATGTGTACCTAATGAGCCTAGATAAATATAATAGGTGTATTTAAAGGGCCTATATAAACATAATAGGTGTACTTAAAGGGCCTCGATAAACATAATGGGTGTACTTAAAGAGCCTAAATAAACATAATATGTGTACTTAAAGGACCTAGATAACAAATGCTGTTCTTACAGTGCATGATGGGTGTACATAAAAAAGGCCCGTATTAACACATTGGTGTGCATAAAGAGGGAAACAAACTCATATACGTATAGAGTTCTTGAGAGGCATATAGAACTTGGTATTCTAGCATAAGACAAACTATTATAGGTTTGATAAATTTAGATTTTAAATTTTTGTATGCACAGTTCCTTTATGTGCCTAGTATACTTACAGTGGTTAGATATAGAGATAGGTTCATTGTCTTGATGATCATAACAGGTGTAGTGTGCCTTTATATACGGATGTACTGCAGTGGCTGATATGCAGGGTGTGCAGTAATGAAAAAATGGGGTGTTTCAATGTTCTGATAGAAAAGGGTATGTACGTTTAGTGCCTAGATAGATAAAGATTGTTTTTGCAGTGCCTAGATGTAAAAGATAGACATACTTGAAGCGACAGGCTAAATGAATTGACTAGATAAACAACCAATAGCACCAACGTTGTCAGACTGAAAAGATGCCCTCTGTTTCTTTTTGTATTATATACGATAGACACGGTACATATAGTATAGCATTAGTTAGAACTTCATAGATAGTTTGGTATATCGTGGATTTCATATAGATCTTATAGTATCAAGTAGATTGAGAATATATCTTATGGTATATAGAAATGAGTATAGATTTGATAGCACATAGTATATAGATTTCCAAGTTCATTGTTACCTGTAAGTATGCCAGTCAATAGTATGCCATTCAAGAGCCGTTGAACTCTTTCCTTGTACAGATCATCAATATTATAGCTTTCAGTTAGGCCAAGTGATGAAGGTGGATACTCTGTATACCATCTGTTATCTATGTCAAAGCATGCATCCAGCTTATGATAAATGTTCCATGATACACTGTGCTTATATCAAAGCATGCAGCCAGCTTATGATAAATGTTCAATGATACACTGTGCTTATTTCAAAGCATGCAGCCAGCTTATGATAAATGTTCCATGATACACTGTGCTTATATCAAAGCATGCAGCCAGCTTATGATAAATGTTCAATGATACACTGTGCTTATTTCAAAGCATGCAGCGAGCTTATGATAAATGTTCCATGATACACTGTGCTTATATCAAAGCATGCAGCCAACTTATGATGAATGTACCATGATACACTGTGCTTATATCATAGCATGCAGATCGCTTATGATGAATGTACCATGATACACTGTGCTTATATCAAAGCATGCAGCCAACTTATGATGAATGTACCATGATACACCGTGCTTATATCATAGCATGCAGACCGCTTATGATGAATGTACCTTGATACACTGTGCTTATATCAAAGCATGCAGCCAACTAATGATGAATGTACCATGATACACTGTGCTTATTTCAAAGCATGAAGCCACCTTATGATGAATGTACCATGATACACTGTGCTTATTTCAAAGCATGCAGCCAACTTATGATGAATGTACCATGATACACTGTGCTTATTTCAAAGCATGCAGCCAGCTTATGATGAATGTACCATGATACACTGTGCTTATATCAAAGCATGCAGCCAGCTAAGGATAAATGTACCATGATACTCTGTGCTTATTTCAAAGCATGAAGCCAGCTTATGATGAATGTACCATGATACACTGTGCTTATTTCAAAGCATGCAGCCAACTTATGATGAATGTACCATGATACACTGTGCTTATTTCAAAGCATGCAGCCAGCTTATGATGAATGTACCATGATACACTGTGCTTATTTCAAAGCATGCAGACAGCTTATGATGAATGTTCCATGATACTGTGCTTATTTGAAAGCATGAAGATGCTTATGATGAATGTCCATGATAACTATGCTTATTTCAAAGCATGCAGTCAGCTTATGATGAATGTACCATGATACACTGTGCTTATATCAAAGCATGCAGCCAGCTAAGGATAAATGTACCATGATACTCTGTGCTTATTTCAAAGCATGAAGCCAACTTATGATGAATGTACCATGATACACTATGCTTATTTCAAAGCATGCAGTCAGCTTATGATAAATATACCATGATACACTGTGCTTATATCAAAGCATGCAGACCGCTTATGATTAATGTACCATGATACACTGTGCTTATACCAAAGCATGCAGCCAGCTTATGATCAATGTTCAATGATACACTGTGCTTATTTCAAAGCATGCAGCCAGCTAAGGATAAATGTACCATGATACTGTGTGCTTATATCAAAACATGAAGCCAACTTATAATGAAAGCCAACTTATAATGAATGTACCATGACATACTGTTCTTATTTTAATGCATGCAGTCAACTTATGATAAATGCACCATGAATCACTGGGCTTATTTTAGTCCATGCCAACGTATGATTATTATACCATGATTTATTGTGCATTTATCAAAGCATGAAGCCAGCTTGTGATAAATGTACCATGTGACACTGTGCTTATTTCAAAGCATGCAGCCGGATGTTAATACGCTACCTAGGATACATTTTGCATATGTCCCTTCACAAAATAGCATGCCAGGGATATTTGTGCTTACTTCACATTTACCACCACTGAATCTAAGCCCCTGATCTCCAAACTAAGTAGAATAATAACCAATAATCATCAATATTGTTAGCACGATTCCATTGTCACTTGCCCAAAATGTATTTAAAATGAGGATTTATTCCCCCATGGTAAATGAGTGGGTCACCATATCTGGTCGTACCGTAACTGCCATATTTCTTCTGAGAGAAGCTGCAACAAACTCTCACACAATCAACCCAACGGTTCGCCCGGTCCAGGTCCGTCCACGTTCAGTGTTACGTGGTATAGATAATATATTGCTAGTGTGACCATTTAGTCTCCATCTGATTTGTATTTGGGATTAGGGAGGGAAGGGATGAGTCCAGTAAACTATACATTCATTTAGCACCATCCTTTTCACTGTTAACTAAAAAATAATGGAATCAGAGTATGTCCCACAAAAATCTAGTGATATTCATTTTTTTCACCACTGCCAATTTACTATTAATTTTGGGGAAACTTTGAACAAACGTTTCAGCACCCTATATGAATCAAATGGATTCTCCATTACATGTTGACGCATGGATGAAACTAAGGTCAAGTGTTTTACTTGAATATGACATTTAATCAGAGAGACCTGCCTGCCTTTCAGCCCTGCTTACAAAGATCGGTAAGTAATCTCAGCGTCAGGTCCGCGAGTCTGTTGCAGTGAAGGGGGCTGGTCTGCATGTCAATTTTAAAAAGATAGACGTGTTTCCCTTTCTACAGCAGTGAGTGAGTGAGTGAGTTTAGTTTTACGCCGCACTCAGCAATATCCCAGCTATATGGCGGTGGTCTGTAAATAATCGAGTCTGGACCAGACAATCCAGTGATCAACAGCATGAGCATCGATCTGCGCAATTGGAAACCGATTTCTACAGCAGGATGCCTCATGTACAGATACGCGTATACAGATGCTTAAAGCGTTTACAGATATAGATACAGTCCCTATATCAATACAAGTTCTACACATATGAGGATAAATGGACACTCATTTTAGAAAATAATATTTTTCATTGTAAGGGTAATTTAAAGATATTTTAACTCCGAGTGACCGAGTGATGTTTTATATTTTGGCCAGAGAATGAACGGACAGGCCCGAAAAGTCATCATGATGTCAGAAATTGTGAGGATTCGTACAGTTAAACTAAAATATACATATTTAGAAAGATTGTAATCATCTACAGGTCTATAAATATCTAACATGGAGTGGAGATACACAGAGTGACTTACTGTTGTTGATTTCGGTTACGTGGAGTCTTATAAGTTACTTAAAAATTGTAACAAGTAAAACGTTCTACTAGAATGTTTTCAGACACTCCAACGCCAAGAGAACTTGCATTATGTATTTTAGAGACGTGTGGTGTGATATACATGTAGTTCCTTTATTCTACTCGGAAACCAAACTACAAAGAGAGCTAACATATTTAAAAGATTAAAAGATCTGTCGCACAACATAAAACTTTTATTACAGCATATGGATTTATATATTCTCTAAGCACTCAGCAACAGCCATGGTTGACAAAGAAAAACTATATAATGATGTCTACATTCCAGGAGTTGATTTTCTAATGTGTTAATGTGTTATGTATATAGGCAAAGGCACAGCACAACTTTTCTTGCTTGATGTCTAAATGTTTCTCTGCATGTAACCTTCAATTACTGTGCAAGAGCATGCTCGAGATATAAACCTCAAGTCCTTATTCAGCATGTTCACGGAGAAAGGTCTTGAGGTTCTGTTGAACCTCCAAGATTAACACATTTACACAAACAGACCCCACTTGTCCGAATGCCCGACATGTGGGGTCGCTGGTTAACTGTGGAACTGGCAGCTGGTGGTTATTACTAAGCCAGTAAAAAAAGGAATAACAATTGCAAAGTTCAGTAATGATATTTAACACAACTATTGTACGTTGCATGTGAGGAATCGATGTGCATGATTCGATTGTCAATAAAGCTGTCCTCGTCCAGAACACTTACACCAGATCCTGAGTACTATAAGTTGAATATTGGTGACCAATGGCTGTTTTCGTCAAGCTGGCCAGGTCACCATCACAGCGACAGTACAACCCACCCTTAGTGGTCAATACTTTCTACTTCTGTATCAACGCCTGTGTAGGGAACCGGTATGCATACATCTACAACTAATTTCATTATGAAATAGCAGAACAGCAGACTACGTCCCGTTAGCTTCGAACTCATGGCTATTAAGTTCTCCGAAACACGCCCTATGTATGGTGTGACTGTTGAATATGGCCGGTATGCACACCTCATGGATATGGAAAGTGACTCTTGTCCACGCATGTATGCAATAATATGAATATAAACTACGCCCTGGTGCATATTGTGACCTTCTTCCTGGCATCGTGCGCATAGTGTGACTGTTAACCACGTCCCGTATACAGAGAATGACTATAGACAACGCCCATATGTGACTGAAGTCCACGCTCTCATTGACACGGAGTTGACCAGTCCGCGTGCTCGTATGTGCACACATGACCACTATGTCCCGTGGTACGTCCCGACATCTGACTACTACCGCCCGTGGTACGTACTGACATCTGACTACTATCTTCCGCGGTACGTCCCGACATCTGACTACTACCGCCCGCGGTACGTCCCGACATCTGACTACTACCGCCCGCGGTACGTCCCGACATCCGCCCGCGGTACGTACTACCACTACCGCCCGCGGTACGTCGTCCCGACATCCGACATCTGACTCCCGACTACTACGCCCGCGGTACGTCCCGACATCTGACTACTACCGCCCGCGGTACGTCCCGACATCTGACCACTATCGCCCGCGGTACGTCCCGACATCTGACTATCTCCCGCGGTACGTCCCGACATCTGACTACTACCGCCCGCGGTACGTCCCGACATCTGACTACTACCGCCCGCGGTACGTCCCGACATCTGACCACTATCTCCCGCGGTACGTCCCGACATCTGACTACTACCGCCCGCGGTACGTCCCGACATCTGACTACTATCGCCCGCGGTACGTCCCGACATCTGACTACTACTCTCCCGCGGTACGTCCCGACATCTGACTACTATCTCCCGCGGTACGTCCCGACATCTGACTACTACCGCCCGTGGTACGTCCCGACATCTGACTACTACCGCCCGCGGTACGTCCCGACCTGACATCTCTGGACGTCCCGACATCTACCGCCCGCGGTACGTCCCGACATCTGACTACTATCTCCCGTGGTACGTCCCGACATCTGACTACTAATCTCGGTACGTCCCGACATCTGACTACTACCGCCCGCGGTACGTCCCGACATCTGACCACTATCTCCCGCGGTACGTCCCGACATCGACTACTACCGCCCGCGGTACGTCCCGACGTACTATCTCCCGTGGTACATCTGACTACTACCGCCCGCGGTACGTCCCGACATCTGACTACTATCTCCCGCGGTACGTCCCGACATCTGACTACTACCGCCCGCCGTCCCGACATCTGACTATCGCCTGACATCCGACATCTGACTACTACCGCCCGCGGTACGTCCCGACATCTGACTACTACCGCCCGCGGTACGTCCCGACATCTGACTACTATCTCGCCCGCGGTACGTCCCGACATCTGACCACTACCGCGGTACGTCCCGACATCTGACTACTACCGCCCGCGGTACGTCCCGACATCTGACTACTACCGCCCGCGGTACGTCCCGACATCTGACTACTACCGCCCGCGGTACGTCCCGACATCTGACTACTACCGCCTGCGGTACGTCCCCCGTGGTACGTCCCGACATCTGACTACTACCGCCCGCGGTACGTCCCGACATCTGACTACTATCTCCGTGGTACGTCCGTGGTACGTCCCGGTACGTACCGACATCTGACTACTACCGCCCGTACCGCCTGCGGTACGTCCCGACATACTGACTACTACCGCCCGCGGTACGTACCGACATCTGACTACTACCACCGCCTGCGGTACGTCCCGACATCTTACTACTACCGCCCGTGGTACGTACCGACATCTGACTACTACCGCCCTCTGTACGTCCCGACATCTGACAACAACCGCCCGCGGTACGTCCCGACATCAGACTACTATCTCCCGCGGTACGTCCCGACATCTGACTACTACCGCCCGTGGTACGTCCCGACATCTGACTACTACCGACCGCGGTACGTCCCGACATCTGACTACTATCGCCCGCGGTACGTCCCGACATCTGACTACTACCGCCCGCGGTACGTCCCGACATCTAGCCACTATCTCCCGTGGTACGTCCCGACATCTGACTACTACCGCCCCACGGTACGTCTCGACATCTGACTACTACCGCCCACTGTACGTCCCGACATCTAACCACTATCTCCCGTGGTACGTCCCGACATGTGACTACTACCACCCGTGGTACGTCCCGACATCTGACTACTACTACGCCCGTGGTACGTATCTCGTGTACGTCCTGACATCTGACTACTACCGCCCGTGGTACGTCCTGACAACTGACTACTACCGCCCGTGGTACGTCCCGACATATGACTACTATCGACAACTGACTACCCGTAGTACGTCCCAACATCTGACTACTACCGCCCGTGGTACGTCCCGACATCTGACTACTACCGCCCGCGGAACGTCCCGACATCTGACTACTACCGCCCGTGGTACGTCCCGACATCTGACTACTACCGCCCGTGGTACGTCCCGACATCTGACTACTACCGCCCGCGGAACGTCCCGACGACAAAGAAGACACTGCTTCTTATGACGAGGCGGCTTCATATTTGTGACGTGCCACAGTCCTTTACTCTTTTTACACTTTCTTATGGTGTTGGTTACAGGTTCCAAAATAACTTTTATGCTTGTTTTTAATATTTGCATGCGTGCTATTTACCGTACGATGTGTTTTATAGCTATTCCCATTTTTTAATTATTCAAATGCATCAAAACGATTCAGATCTTGTTTTCATTATATTCTACAACTTATGTTTAACATAGTAGTGGCAATCTCAGAATACTACAGTTAAAATTCTTATTACAATTCTCATACGAGTTTTGATTGATAAGTTCCGGGCCTCACATACATGTTACAAAGAAGGGCTTAGCACCAAATGTATCCTTGAAGAAATCAAAATACGCCGCGAAGAGAAGGCTGCTCGTTTATATGGCCCCGTAAGATGTAAGCTTTGCAGGTAGAGCTTTGAAGACAATCACCGTCCTGGAAGTCCTATGACGTCAGCAGCACCAGAACCATCCTGAGAATCCATCATATTGTAATGAAGGCAGAACCAATACTTAGTTCAATAGACATCGATCCGGAGTGAGAAAATTCCAATTTGTCAACATATTGGGTTTCAAAACTTCAGATATCTGCTAAAGCACAACATGTCTCGTGATAACCTAGCTCTGATTGAAGCCGATGCAGAAAGGTTATTGAATAATGAATTCTTTTAATGTCTGTTGGTACCGTCTGCCTATGCCAGACTCAGAACTTGTCAATCGCCTCTCGTATGTATGTTGTACTAATTCATATAATATACCGTGGAACCTTGGACTTTGTTGACAGAGGGAATCAATGGAAGAAAAGAATTATTTTGTTTCACTACTCTTTGTCATGAGAAAAATATTCACATAGACATGGGACATCCTGAAACTTTGATACACTGAAATTAGGTCTGTTAATGTGGGGAGGGTGATGTGACTCACGTCGTACTCTGAGAGTGGGTCTGTTTATGTGGGGGGGGAGTTCCGTCTTTGTGTCAGTTTAGTGACTGTCCACATCTTGTTGCAGCCAACGTCGCTCCGTTTCATGCTCAGTGCGTGATGCAGTCAGAACCCCCAATGGGCATCACAATCATCCAACACAACGAATATGCGACGGTAGGTTATTATTATGTACAACCTGCCTATAGTGATAGGCAACATTATGATACTCCGTATGTATCCGAGTACCGCCAGGTCGTCGCTATTATGACTGGATACCATCTTAGCAAATGCTATGACTTGGAACTAACACGAGTATGTTGGGGCGACGAGGTAGCCAAGTGGTTCAAGCATTTACCCACCTCGTCGAATACCTAGGTTTGCTTCCCCACATGGTACAATGCGTGAATTCCATTTATGTTTCCCCTTGGTCATGATATTGCGGAAATATTGCCAATATTCACTCATTCATTCGATTATTTGTCTCAGGTGCGATTCAACCGCGGAAGCAAGGACCTTGCGCTCAACTACAGGTACGTGACCAAAGATCAGCTGATGGCCTTGAAGACGAGGTGCACGTACGTCCAACAACACGTCAAACTCACCTGTAACAAGTTCCAGCTCCACCCATCGGGCCCAAGAGGTGAGTGCTGCCATAGAGGCGTCCACACGGGGCCGAGATGCAACAACAGCCTGCACTGATAGAAAGTCTTTCGCACAAATCCTCCTCCAGAAGTTCAATATTTAGATTGCCGTGTCACAGCGTGTCTGTTTGTCTTTACTTGTCCTATATTTTCCTAGGGAGGGATGCGAGCGGAAGTCTTACCACATTGACTTCGTGTATCACAAAACATTATACAATCGTTGTACCAAATGCTCTTTCAGGTGTTTCTGCAGTGGGTTAGCCTGATGGTATAAAGCGTCAACTCGCCACGCTAAAGATTCCCCACATGGGTACAATGTGTGATGCCAATGTTTGGTAGTCCCGGCCGTGATAATGCTGGAATATTGCTAAAAGCGGCGTAAAACCAAACTTACTGCTTCACTCACTCACTCACGCACTCACTCACTCAGGTGTTTCTGCCAATAATAAAAATCCTGTTTGAGCAAGTTTGTGAGTTAGGTAATGCCGAATCAAACAGTTTTTCAGTTACATCCCGTGTGACGGGTTCATGCTGGAAAAGTACGACTCCTGGGTTGAAAATCTTGCAAGTTCTCTTGTCATCCTCATAATTTGGATTTACTTCAAGAACTACTAGACAATGAATATATGTAAATATTCGTCACGTTGCAATAAGATAGTTTAAGAGAACTTACCCTAAGACAGGTCAGTGATCAGGTAAGATGAGACAACTCGCAAAGCAACCGCCAGTTGAGTGTAAGTATTTTGGAGAGTGTTTAGCATCTATTTCGGGCATATTGAACTCCAAAGTTGGTCACCTCGATGTATGACTATACGATGCGTATGAACAGTTAAAATGTTGTTATTAATGCTGTTCACTACTTTTCAGGGCGCCGCTTCCGACGTAAGCTTATGGTCGCTCTAAAGCGCAATGCCTTCATTTTTAACTATCTTTATTATTGTCTTTTCTTATTCCCTTTTGAAAAAACCCGAGCACATGCTGCGTCAGCCACGCGCACCTGATAACCCTACGCACCTGTTGATACCCCTGCGCACCTGTTGATACCCCTGCGCACCTGTTGATATCCCTACGCACCTGTTGATACCCCTGCGCATATGTTGATACCCCTACGCACCTGTTGATACCCCTACGCACCTGTTGATACCCCTGCGCATATGTTGATACCCCTGCGCACCTGTTGATACTTGTGAACCCCTACGCACCTGTTGATACCCTTGCGCATATGTTGATACCCCTACGCACCTGTTGGTTATCACCACTCACAATGAAGAGGCATCGCACCTGGTGGTAAATACATTCAAACTTGACATAACTCTGTTATTCTGTTGATATCTCTATTGTTTGACCGATACTGTTACACGTGTAAAATGTTCACCTGTGTTACTACATAACTTTTGAAGGTCCGGGTTAGAATATTGATCTTTGGTAACCCATGCTTGTCGTAAGAGGCGACTAACGGGATCGGGTGGTCAGGTGCGCTAACTTGGTTGACACATGTCATCGGTTCCCATTTGCGCAGATCGATGCTCATGCTGTTGATCACTGGATTGTCTGGTCCAGACTCGATTATTTACAGACCCCCGCCATATAGCTTGAATATTGCTGAGTGCGGCGTAAAACAAAACTCACTCACTCACATCACTTTTGATTTGTTGTTTTCATGCGCACATAAGTAGCTATCTGCTTCCATTCACCTGATGTAGAAGTAAGAATATACTCCAACACGCATTGTTACTTACATTACAGAACTTCCTTAATTTTCCCCTTTATGAAACTGGCCTGTTCCTAACCCCTGCACCTGTTTCATGATCCCCCCTGATCCTACTAGCCCCGCACGTTTGCGGACGTTTCCCTACTCACTTACTGAAACCCCATCGCACCCATTCATTACAAATACCCATTTAATAACTCCTGCTAATTTAACCGAACTAACCCCACGTTCCTGCCGATTCGACCACAATCACCTGTTGATAACACTGTAAATATACAGCCACTGTGTTACAAGCTCTTCACACTCCAGTTACTGTAGCGCGAATGCGTTGTCACACGTTAAGCCCTGTTTAGTGGGAAACAAGCTCTGTGCAGTGCCCTCTCCAGTAACTGTTGCGCGAATGCGTTGTCACACGTTAAGCCCTGTATAGTGGGATACAAGCTCTGTGCAGTGCCCTCTCCAGTAACTGTAGCGCGAACGCGTTGTCACACGTTAAGCCCTGTATAGTGTGATACAAGCTCCGTGCAGTGCTCTCTCTCCAGTAACTGTAGCGCGAATGCGTTGTCACACGTTAAGCCCTGTTTAGTGGGAAACAAGCTCTGTGCAGTGCCCTCTCCAGTAACTGTTGCGCGAATGCGTTGTCGCACGTTAAGCCCTGTATAGTGTGATACAAGCTCCGTGCAGTGCTCTCTCTCCAGTAACTGTAGCGCGAATGCGTTGTCACACGTTAAGCCCTGTATAGTGTGATACAAGCTCCGTGCAGTGCTCTCTCTCCAGTAACTGTAGCGCGAACGCGTTGTCACACGTTAAGCCCTGTATAGTGTGATACAAGCTCCGTGCAGTGCTCTCTCCAGTAACTGTAGCGCGAATGCGTTGTCACACGTTAAGCCTGGTATGTGATACAATAGTGTGATACAAGCTCCGTGCAGTGCTCTCTCTCCAGTAACTGTAGCGCGAATGCGTTGTCACACGTTAAGCCCTGTATAGTGGGATACAAGCTCCGTGCAGTGCTCTCTCCAGTAACTGTTGCGCGAATGCGTTGTCGCACGTTAAGCCCTGTATAGTGGGATACAAGCTCCGTGCAGTGCCCTCTCCAGTAACTGTAGCGCGAATGCGTTGTCGCACGTTAAGCCCTGTATAGTGGGATACAAGCTCTGTGCAGTGCTCTCTCTCCAGTAACTGTAGCGAATGCGTTGTCGCACGTTAAAGCCTCTTGTGTCATCCTCGCCAGCAAATGTCGCGAGGACGTGTTTGTTGCAGATTAAAGCTACAGATCATCCGTGTCGGTGGCCCCACAGTTAGTGCACTCGCTCATCACAGAAAATACACCAGTTCTAATCCTTATTCGGTGTAATGTCGTTTGATTTGGAGAGATTGTCCATTCGTTTCATTATGCCCAGCGGTATGAATGCCCCATGGTGTAGTCAGCACAACATCTCATCAGGATTCGCCGCATCTGTCTGGCATGTGTCCGCATGTTTCTGTCGGTCCCCGTAGCCTAGAAAGGGCTGTATGTGGTGTCACCAATATGTCATATATATTGACTTGTACTTGTTTCAACTTGATGTCTCCGATCTTGTAGTTGATAGCTTTCTGGGTTTTGTTCCACAAAGTCACTTTAGGCCTAAGCCGACCCTAGTCCTATATTTTAACATAGCCTTGCCATAGTCTAGCGTTTAGATCGCTCTTTGACCTCGAGAGGTTAATCTTTCTAATTTGTAACAAACCTGCTTCCCTGTTGAGATCCAAAGGTTAGCATTCTTTCTGTGGGTTCATGGTTACAACATCCTACAACATATGGGTAACTGGGGCCGTCTTTCGAGGATATGTAGATAGTTAGGTAGTCTGTGTATCATCAATACTAGTTTTCCTCTTTCCTCTTTAAAACATCAACTGTACCGTAGGGTACATGTCAATACAATTCAATTCTATATTCTCATAAACCACCTTGGTGGTACAAGAGCATATATTGTAAACATATATACAAATACAAATTCAAATTCAAGATGGCAGTAACATATTAACATTATTTTCTGACAAGAGATGATAGATGTAAGATATATTTTGATAGAGTTACTATGTCTCGAGATGTTTTTACAGATAATATTTTCGTGAACTTTGTTTCATTGGGAAAAGAGGTACATGCAAAAGTGAGTGATCTAGTCTGGGGGGATAAATGCTTGTAAAAGCATCGGGGTGTACAAACATCAACTGTACCGTAGGGTATTGTTTGTAATAAACATAGTGAGTGATTTAGTCTCTAGTCTGGGGTTACAAACATCAACTGTACCGTAGGGTACATGCCATAGTGAGTGATCTAGTCTGGGGGTACAAACATCAACTGTACCGTAGGGTACATGCCATAGTGAGTGATTTAGTCTGGGGGTACAAACATCAACTGTACCGTAGGATACATGCCATAGTGAGTGATCTAGTCTGGGGGGTACAAACATCAACTGTACCGTAGGGTACATGCCATAGTGAGTGATCTACCGTAGGGTCTGGGGGTACAAACATCAACTGTACCGTAGGGTACATGCCATAGTGAGTGATCTAGTCTGGGGGGTACAAACATCAACTGTACCGTAGGGTACATGTCATAGTGAGTGATCTAGTCTGGGGGGTACAAACATCAACTGTACCGTAGGGTACATGCCATAGTGAGTGATCTAGTCTGGGGGGTACAAACATCAACTGTACCGTAGGGTACATGCCATAGTGAGTGATCTAGTCTGGGGGGTACAAACATCAACTGTACCGTAGGGTACATGCCATAGTGAGTGATCTAGTCTGGGGGGTACAAACATCAACTGTACCGTAGGGTACATGCCATAGTGAGTGATCTAGTCTGGGGGGTACAAACATCAACTGTACCGTAGGGTACATGCCATAGTGAGTGATCTAGTCTGGGGTTACAAACATCAACTGTACCGTACAAACATCAACTGCCCCGCAGGGTACATGCCATAGTGAGTGATCTAGTCTGGGGGTACAAACATCAACTGCCCCGTAGGGTACATGCCATAGTGAGTGATCTAGTCTGGGGGGTACAAACATCAACTGTACCGTAGGGTACATGCCATAGTGAGTGATCTAGTCTGGGGGGTACAAACATCAACTGTACCGTAGGGTACATGCCATAGTGAGTGATCTAGTCTGGGGGGTACAAACATCAACTGTACCGTAGGGTACATGCCATAGTGAGTGATCTAGTGAGGGGGGGGTACAAACATCAACTGTACCGTAGGGTACATGCCATAGTGAGTGATCTAGTCTGGGGGTACAAACATCAACCTGCCCCGTAGGGTACAGTCTGGGGGTACAAACATGCCATGCCGCTAGTGAGTGAGTGAGTGATCTAGTCTAGTCTGGGGTACAAACATCAACTGTACCGTAGGGTACATGCCATAGTGAGTGATCTAGTCTGGGGGTGCCATAGTGAGTGATCTAGTCTGGGGGTACAAACATCAACTGTACCGTAGGGTACATGCCATAGTGAGTGATCTAGTCTCTGCCCCGTAGGGGGTGAGTATCAAACATCAACTGCCCCGTAGGGTACATGCCATAGTGAGTGATCTAGTCTGGGGGGTACAAACATCAACTGTACCGTAGGGTACATGCCATAGTGAGTGATCTAGTCTGGGGGGTACAAACATCAACTGCCCCGTAGGGTACATGCCATAGTGAGTGATCTAGTCTGGGGGGTACAAACATCAACTGCCCCGTAGGGTACATGCCATAGTGAGTGATCTAGTCTGGGGGGTACAAACATCAACTGTACCGTAGGGTACATGCCATAGTGAGTGATCTAGTCTGGGGGGTACAAACATCAACTGCCCCATGCTCACGACGTTCTCATTGTTGTTGCTGTAGGTAAGTTTGCCAAGTGGACGGCGCTGATCAACAACTTCAAATATACCTACTGGTCCGGAAACGGCACACATACGAACTGTGAGGGCCCTGGAGGCGAGGATGTTTGCCAATGTGACAGCTCGAACACGGCAACCACTCCACTGTGAGTATCTCATGCTTTCAATCATACGAGTCTCATCTCCTCCTGCTGAAGACCACTTTCATGTTATCAATCATACGAGCTTCATCTCCCCATGCTGAGAACCATTTTCATGTTATTAATCATACGAGTCTCATCTTCCCACTGGTGAGATACACTTTCATGTAATCAATCATACGAGTCTCATCTTCCGACTGGTGAGATACACTTTCATGTTATCAATCATACGAGTCTCATCTTCCCACTGGTGAGATACACTTTCATGTTATCAATCATACGAGTCTCATCTTCCCACTGGTGAGATACACTTTCATGTTATCAATCATACGAGTCTCATCTTCCCACTGGTGAGATACACTTTCATGTTATCAATCATACTAGTCTCATCTTCCCACTGGTGGGACACACTTTCATGTTATCAATCATACGAGTCTCATCTTCCAACTGGTGAGATACACTTTCATGTTATCAATCATACGAGTCTCATCTTCCCACTGGTGAGATACACTTTCATGTTATCAATCATACGAGTCTCATCTTCCCACTGGTGAGATACACTTTCATGTTATCAATCATTCGAGTCTAATCTTTCCACTGGTGAGATACACTTTCATGTTATCAATCATACGAGTCTCATCTTCCCACTGGTGAGATACACTTTCATGTTATCAATCATTCGAGTCTAATCTTCCCACTGGTGAGATACACTTTCATGTTATCAATCATACGAGTCTCATCTTCCGACTGGTGAGATACACTTTCATGTTATCAATCATTCGAGTCTAATCTTCCCACTGGTGAGATACACTTTCATGTAATTAACAAAATCAGAACCTTTGCCCCTACCTTATTAGTAACACTTGTAACGGTGAGGGGTTGGGGTAATTCGTCTTAGTTTCATGTTGTGTCATACACCCAACAAGGGCAAGTAGACTGTTTGAACATATACTAGGCACATAAAGAAACTGTGCATACAAAAATTTAAAATCTAAATTTATCAAACCTGTGTTGACACATAAGGATTTAAACTCAGAGATTAGTGCATGCACGTGCCACGTTCCGTGACGTCAGTGGGGTCGTCCTTGAGACGTGCAATACGTTGTTGCACGTGCATTCCGGGAAAGAGAAACAGAGCAAATGAATGCCACACAATACTGTCACTTTGGAAAGCTCAACCCCTGCCCTTGCGATCGTTCAAAAAATTAAACGGCTATTGAAACGCATAGCATGCCAAGGCTCACGTCTGCATAACGTCATGAGGCCATTGGGATGGTCCGTGGGGGGACTGTCTCAACGACAAGTGGCTGTACATTTCCACTGCCACCGGAACACCATTTCTGCACTGGTGAGACGCTACCAGAACACAAATGACGTCATCGATCGGCCACGTTCTGGACGTCCACGTGTATCAACGCCAAGACAGGACATATAGATAAGGGTGACACATCTTCGCCAAGGGTTTCAGACTGCAGTGATGACTGCCCGAACCATCCCAGGACTTCGCCGTATCCACCCCAACACAGTTCGACAACGTTTACGTCATCACGGGATCAGACCACGACGTCCCGCCATACGGCCTATCCTGACACAACGTCATCGACAAGCTCGCCGAATGTGGTGCCGAAATCATGTCCGCAGACGCTTGTTTTGGTGGAGAAATGTTGTTTTTACAGATGAGTCCAGGTTTAACATTTCCCATAGTGATGGACATCAACATGCCTATAGACACGTGGGAGAACGTTATGCACAGGCCTGTGTCTTGGAGAGGAATCGCTTTGGTGGTGGTTCCGTGATGATTTGGGGTGGAATAACAGCACGCCAAAGAATTCCTTTGGTGATTGTTCAGGGCAACTTAACTGGTGTGGGCTACAGGGATCAGATTCTTCGACCTGTGGCAATTCCTTTTCTGCAACGTCATGGCCCTGGGTTAACATTCCAACAGGACAATGCCCACCCTCATACGGCAAGGGTTGCTATGGATTTCTTGCAACACCACAACGTTGACTTACTGCCTTGGCCTGCAAATTCACCGGATCTCTCCCGATAGAGCATGTTTGGGACGAGATGGATCGACGTCTACGCCGTCTTCCTCATCCACCAGATAACGTCCTTGACCTTACAACAGAACTTGAGAGAATCTGGCGTGACTTCCCACAAGCCTTCCTTGCACGTTTGATAGGCTCTATGCGTCGTCGATGCACTGCTGTTCTCAATGCCGATGGTGGACATACCCGTTATTGAGCTTGTGACATGGTCGTTTGACCCCTGTCCCGCTTGTGGACTCGTGACGTCATTGTGATTGACTTTTCAGTTGAAATTCTCCCGACTTGTTATGGTCTCATGATCCCTCCATTAAAGTTATATGTACCTTTGACATTGTTATCGTACTTTTGACAATGCACAGTTTCTTTATGTGGCTAGTATAGTTTGGGCGGCCGACGCAAAAGGTTTTTGTAAAAACAGCATGGAACACAGTAATCACATGAGGCAAGTGCATCAGAAACGACACAAATCAGCAACGCGAGGGTGCCATTAACAGGCTCAATGCTGGACAATCCGGTGCAGCAGTTGCACGAAACCAATACACAATTTGACGGGCACCGTTGGAGATCGCCAAAGGCGTGGGGCGCCTCGTGCGACGTGACAAATCAGGTTATGTCATCTCCACAGCATATTTGCGACTGGAACCACCTGTAATAGAGATATGTTCAGAGGCAGAGTAACAACACGTAACATAAGAAGTCGATTGCGCAGCGCAGGGATCCGACCATACACTTTAACGCCCCATACTGCAGTTCTGACGTACAACCCCTTACATAACGCAAGTGTCACGCACTGGCCCTGACCTTTCTCACTCACTGGGGTGTGTATGTTTAATACTTCCCATCACTGTGGTGTGTATGCTTAATACTTCCAATCACATTAGTGTGTATACATAATACTTCCCATCACTGTGGTGTATATGCTTAATACTTCCCATCACTGTGGTGTTTATGCTTAATACTTCCCATCACAGTGGTGTGTATGCTTAATACTTCCCATCACTGTGGTGTACATGTATATGCTTAATATTTCCCATCACAGTGGTGTATGCTTATTACTTCGCATCAAATTAGTGTGTATGCTTACTACTTCCCATCACAGAAATGTGTATACTTAATACTTCCCATCACAGTAGTGTATGCTTCATACTTCGCATCAAAGTAGTGTGTATGCTTAATACTTCCCATCACAGTACTGTATGCTTAATACTTCCCATCACAGAAATGTGTATGCTTAATACTTCCAATCACATAAGTGTGTATGCATAACACTTCCCATCACAGTAGTGTGTATGCTTCATACTTCCCATCACAGTAGTGTGTATACTAAACACTTCCTACACTGTGGTGTATATGCTTAATACTTCCCATCACAGTAGTGTGTATGCTTAAGACTTCCCATCACTGTGGTGTATATGTTTAATACTTCCAATCACTGTGGTGTGTATGCTTAATACTTCCCATCAAAATAGTGTGTATGCGTAATACTTCCCATCACATTAGTGTGTATGCTTAATACTTCCCATCAAAGTAGTGTGTATGCGTAATACTTCCCATCACAGTAGTGTGTATGCTTAACACTTCCCAGCAAAGTAGTGTGTATGCGTAATACTTCCCAGCAAAGTAGTGTGTATGCTTCATACTCCCCATCACAGTAGTGTGTATGCTTAATACTTCCCATCACAGTAGTGTGTATGCTTAATACTTCCCATCACATTAGTGTGTATGCGTAATACTTCCCATCACTGTGGTGTATATGCTTAAAACTTTCCATCACAGTAGTGTGTATGCTTAATACTTCCCATCACAGTAGTGTATATGCTTAATATCTCCCATCACTGTGGTGTATATGCTTAATACTTCTCTTCACATAACTGTGTATGCTTAATACTTCCCATCACTGTAGTGTGCATGTTTAACACTTCCCATCACAGTGGTGTGTATGCTGAATACTTCCTATCACAGTAGTGTGTATGCTTAATACTCCCCATCACAGTAGTGTGTATTCTTAATACTCCCCATCACAGTGGTGTGTATGCTGAATACTTCCTATCACAAAGTGTGTATGCTTAATACTCCCCATCACAGTAGTGTGTATGCTTAATACTCCCCATCACAGTGGTGTGTATGCTGAATACTTCCTATCACAAAGTGTGTATGCTTAATATCACAAAGTGTGTATGCTTAATACTCCCCATCACAGTGGTGTGTATGCTTAATACTCCCCATCACAGTAGTGTGTATGCTTAATACTCCCCATCACAGTGGTGTGTATGCTGAATACTTCCTATCACAAAGTGTGTATGCTTAATACTCCCCATCACAGTAGTGTGTATGCTTAATACTCCCCATCACAGTAGTGTGTATGCTTAATACTTCCCATCACAGTAGTGTGTATGCTTAATACTCCCCATCACAGTGGTGTGTATGCTGAATACTTCCCATCACAAAGTGTGTATGCTTAATACTCCCCATCACAGTAGTGTGTATGCTTAATACTCCCCATCACAGTAGTGTGTATGCTTAACACTTCCCAGCAAAGTAGTGTGTATGCGTAATACTTCCCATCACACAGTAGTGTATGCTTAAAACTTCCCATCACATACTTTATGTGTATATGCGTAATACTTCCCATCACTGTGGTGTATATGCTTAAAACTTTCCATCACAGTAGTGTGTATGCTTAATATTTCCCATCACAGTAGTGTATATAATATCTCCCCATCACTGTGGTGTATATGCTTAATACTTCTCCATCACAGTAGTGTGTATGCTTAATACTTCCCATCACAGTAGTGTGTATGCTTAATACTTCCCATCACAGTGGTGTGTATGCTTAATACTTCCCATCACAGTAGTGTGTATGCTTAATACTTCCCCATCACAGTAGTGTATGCTTAATACTTCCCCATCACAGTAGTGTGTATTCTTAATACTCCCCATCACATCACAGTGTGTGTATGCTGAATACTTCCTATCACAGTAGTGTGTATGCTTAATACTCCCCATCACAGTAGTGTGTATGCTTAATACTCCCCATCACAGTGGTGTGTATGCTGAATACTTCCTATCACAAAGTGTGTATGCTTAATACTCCCCATCACAGTAGTGTGTATGCTTAATACTCCCCATCACAGTGGTGTGTATGCTGAATACTTCCCATCACAAAGTGTGTATGCTTAATACTCCCCATCACAGTGGTGTGTATGCTGAATACTTACTATCACAATAGTGTGTATGCTTAATACTCCCCATCACAGTGGTGTGTATGCTGAATACTTCCTATCACAAAGTGTGTATGCTTAATACTCCCCATCACAGTGGTGTGTATGCTTAATACTCCCCATCACAGTGGTGTGTATGCTTAATACTCCCCATCACAGTAGTGTGTGCTTAATACTTCCCATCACAGAGTGTGTATGCGTAATACTCCCCATCACAGTAGTGTGTATGCTTAATACTCCCCAGCAAAGTAGTGTGTATGCGTAATACTTCCCATCACAGTAGTGTATGCTTAAAACTTCCCATCACATTAGTGTGTATGCGTAATACTTCCCATCACTGTGGTGTATATGCTTAAAACTTTCCATCACAGTAGTGTGTATGCTTAATATTTCCCATCACAGTAGTGTATATGCTTAATATCTCCCATCACTGTGGTGTATATGCTTAATACTTCTCTTCACATAACTGTGTATGCTTAATACTTCCCATCACTGTAGTGTGCATGTTTAAAACTTCCCATCACAGTGGTGTGTATGCTGAATACTTCCTATCACAGTAGTGTGTATGCTTAATACTCCCCATCACAGTAGTGTGTATGCTTAATACTCCCCATCACAGTGGTGTGTATGCTGAATACTTCCTATCACAAAGTGTGTATGCTTAATACTCCCCATCACAGTAGTGTGTATGCTTAATACTCCCCATCACAGTAGGTGGTGTATCACAGTGTGTGAATGCTGAATACTTCCTATCACAAAGTGTGTATGCTTAATACTCCCCATCACAGTAGTGTGTATGCTTAATACTCCCCATCACAGTGGTGTGTATGCTGAATACTTCCTATCACAAAGTGTGTATGCTTAATAGTCCCCATCACAGTGGTGTGTATGCTGAATACTTACTATCACAGAAGTGTGTAAGCTTAATACTTCCTATCACAGTGGTGTGTATGCTGAATACTTACTATCACAGAAGTGTGTAAGCTTAATACTTCCCATCACAGAAGTGTGTATGCTTAATACTCCCCATCACAGTAGTGTGTATGCTTAATACTCCCCATCACAGTGGTGTGTATGCTGAATACTTACTATCACAGAAGTGTGTAAGCTTAATGCTCCCCATCACAGTGGTGTGTATGCTGAATACTTACTATCAGAAAAGTGTGTAAGCTTAATACTTCCTATCACAGAAGTGTGTAAGCTTAATACTCCCCATCACAGTAGTGTGTATGCTTAATACTTCCCATCAAAATAGTGTGTATGCGTAATACTTCCAATCACATTAGTGTGTATGCTTAACACTTCCCATCAAAGTAGTGTGTATGCGTAATACTTCCCATCACTGTGGTGTATATGCTTAATACCATCACAGTAGTGTGTATGCTGAATACCTCCCATCACTATGGTGTATATGCTTAATACTTCCTATCACAGTAGTGTGTATGCTTAATACTCCCCATCACAGTAGGGTGCATGCTTAATACTCCCCATCACAGTAGTGTGCATGTTTAATACTCCCCATCACAGTAGTGTGCATGTTTAATACTATCTTCCAAGTAGTTTGTATCTGCTGAATGTTGTCGGATGTGTGCAGTATTTACCTGGTAATATTTCAGGGTTGATGAAGGAGATCTCACCAACAAGAACGCTGTGCCGCTTGGAAAGATTCAGTTCTACGAAGAAAGCATTACCGGCGACGGTTACCTCGATGCGGAGATTGGACCGTTCAAGTGTTTCGGTAACATGCAATGTCTTTACGTGGTATTGTGTATAGCTCTATCACTAGGTAATCTCTACTGTATGAAAGACATAATCCAAACATCATTGAAGTAAAATATTATGACGCCACACACATATAGAGCCTGCCGTTGGAGTGGTGACGTCATGCTTAACCAGGTACCCAGGGTGGTGTTTACTCGAATTATGCACATCGGTCTTTATGTTTAAACCCCTATAAACGCTAAGGTCTTTAAATCAATAAGACAACTACAATAGCTTCACAGACAGCATATTTAATCATTAACCCAAAACAACTGTTGACAACTGAACGGAATGTAAAACATCGTTCAGTCCAAAAATGTAACAAAAGACAAATGTCAATCTGTTCAATGTCAAGTTCAACCCATCCCACCATAGGGTAAGCCAATCAGAAAAGAGTCTGAAACACGGCCGAGGTCAAGGTCAAGGCCATGATGTTTCACTGATAGTTGGCGCCAGACACAAAGTTGAATAAACAGTTAGTGGAACAAGAGAGAAAGCCCGCTGGAATTACCTTTGTAGATGTTCAGTTTACAAAGATCATTCCAAACATGAACTGAGGCCTGGTCAACTGAGACGAAGGCTGAGCCGAGTTGACAGGAACCACAGAGGACAGACCATGGCTGATGTTTGATTTCTGAGTCGTCAAACGATGACGAACATGTGTACATCTGTATGTATTTCTCCTCCAGAGGTGTTCAAGACCTGTACGGATGTGTACAGCGCCGCCAGAAGGAGGATCAGGTTTGGAGAAAGTCTACCAGAAAACGGCCGCTTCACCATCGACCCTGATGGCAGTGGTGGTGTAGATGCTTTCCAAGTTGACTGCAAGTTTCCCCGCACTATTTTGCCAGCAACACCAGGTACTTGTCTCCCTTTACTTCACTTATTACTCCACGATCATCGTTGACGATGTGGTGCGTTGATTGTGTGTGTGAGGTGCGTTGATTGTGTGTATGAGTGGTCCGTTAATTGTGGGTGTGTGAGTGGTGCGTTGATTGTGTGTATGAGTGGTGCGTTGAAATTGTGGTGTGTGTGTGAGTGGTGCGTTGATTGTGTGTGTGTGGTGCGTTGTACGTGTGTGGAGTGGTGCGTTGAATTGTGTGTGGGTGGTGCGTTGATGTGTGTGTGTGTGGTTGTTGAGGTGAGTGGTGTGTGATTGTGTGAGTGGTGCGTTGATTGTATTGAGTGAGTGGTATCTGAGTGTGTTGTGAGTGGTGCGTTGATGAGTGTGTGTGCGTGAGTGGTGTAATTGAGTGGTGCATTGATTGTGTGTGTGTGAGTGAGTGGTGCGTTGATTGAGTGTGTGAGTGTGTGTGAGTGGTGCGTTGATTCTGTGTGTGAGTGGTGCGTTAATTGTGTGAGTGGTGCGTTGATTGTGTGTATGAGTGTGGTACGTTGATTGTGTGAGTGGTGCGTTGAGTGGTGTGGTGTGTTGATTGTTAATTGTTGTATGAGTTGTGCGTTAATTTGTGTGAGTGGTGCGTTGATTGTGTGTGTGAGTGGTGCGTTAATTGTTGTATGTGGTGCGTTGATTGTGTGTGTGTGGTGGTGCATTAATTTGTGTGTGTGAGTGGTGCGTTAATTGTTGTGAGTGGTGGGTTAATTGTCTGTGTGATGCGTGGATTGTGTGTGTTGTGGTGCGTTGATTGTGTGTGTTAGTGGTTGAGTGGTGCGTTAATTGTGTGTGTGAGTCGTGGAGTTAATTGTAGTGTGTGAGTGGTGCGTGGATTGTGTGTGCTAGTGGTGATTGATTGTGTGTGTTAGTGGTGCGTTGATTGTATGTGTGAGTGGTGCGTGGATTATGTGAGTGGTTGGTTAATTGTGTGTGTGAGTTGTGGGTTAATTGTGTGTGAGAGAGGTGCGTTAATTGTGTGTGTGAGTGATGGGTTAATTGTGGGTGTGAGTGGTGCGTGGATTGTGTGTGTTAGTTGTGCGTTGATTGTGTGTGTGAGAGGTGCGTGGATTGTATGTGTGAGTTGTGTGAACATGACGTGAAGTTCACCAGTCTGTGGTGGAAATTTCATTTTTCTGTTCCTTCTTTCTTTAGGAGAGGATAATATCTTTCTGGTCTTTGTTTCAGGCGGCGATTCATTGCAAGGCACTGGTACCGACCCAGTTGAGGAGTGTTTTGACATCACCTATCTGGACGGCGGTGGGAAGAACCTGTCTCCAGAACAAGTTGTGGTGAGTCTATGTCGGAGTATGGGAGTTTTCAGGTGGAATGTCCCTGAAATTCTTCACGAGTACCCAGTCCACGTGGTGGCGTCGGTGTCAGAGTATGGATAATGTATAGGCACGGTGTTCACTGTTTCAATGATTGTTTGACTCTGAAAACATGCTGTTTGTTACGTTTCAGCAACTTGTGAAGGCGTCGAATGGAAAATGCAACCAGAAGCTGAGCCTCAAGTGCACAAACGCCCCCATTACTGATCTCATCAGCTTCACGACATGCGACGGCGTAAAACAACCAGGTGGGCCAGGCTATTTACAAAACCGACGCCATAGATTACGCTTATACATATCGTTAAGGTCAAGGACCTCGTTCCCAAATGCGAACTAATTACTAACGTGGTCGGAACGAACCGTTGAAATCGCATTTTGAAACCCTCATACATATCGTTAAGGTCAAGGTCAAGGACTTCGTTCCCAAAGGCGAACTAATAACTAACGAAAGGAAACGAACCGTTGAAATCGCTTGTCCACGTTCAACATGGCGATCGTAGCACCATGGAGGTCGTAACTGCAATATTGAAACTTTTATACAGGACGACCATAGCGCTGAGATCACTATGTGGTACCCTGAGCTACGTAGCTCTTATTTCACCTCTTTGTATTCCAAGGATGGGCCGGCAGTGGAGGTGTGGACAAATGTGCGTGCGGCGTAACGGGCACGTGCAAGGGCAGCCGCTCCGCAAAATGTAACTGCGACGTTGAGGACGGTAAGGAGCATGAGGACGGTGCTATCATTGTGGACAATGCTCGTATTCCTGTGTGCAAGGTGTGCATTAAGCTGAACGGTACCCTCTCAGATCCATCCAATCCCAACCCAAGTCGATCAGCCTCCTTCACCGTCTCCAACCTCGTCTGCAGCAACGGTGTGTCGGGTACGTCACCAGCGACATGTTTTGTTTGCAGTTTCCGACAGTAATCAAAACAGTTTGTGGACGACTATTTCATAATTCGTTTCAGAAATGAATAACACCTTTCACTTAAAATGCTGAACAATTTGGCTTTGCGGCGAAAAACAAATGTTTTGCTCAATGAACTCTCCCCTTAATTTATATTTAAAATGATAAAAAAAAAATCACAATTTGAAATTAATTACAGTTTGGAAAATACGCAGTTGTTGATGTGTGTTTGAGACATCATGTCCTTGAAATTAGTTTGCTTTCTGTGACACAAATGTACAATGTATTGATGTTGCAGGTGTCAGGGCCAACTGCCAGGACGCACGAACCAGCTCCTTCGTTAGTTCCTCCAGCACCATCTACGTGAGGGCCAACCCTCGTCCCGTGCCCGTCTTCTGCGATTACAGGGCCTTCCCTCCTGCAGGCGTCTTTGTAAGCGATTACGTTCCCTAATGTTGTTTGTATTTTGCTTCTCAAGAGACAACATCCTCGGTGACTGGGGCCCTAGCCGTCTCTCCTGCAGGCCTGTGGACATCTGTATGAGTCATTAAGTCTTCTTCCATATGTGCACAGTATTTTCTTGTAGTTAATTTAAATTCATTAACTCAAGATGCTTTCCATGGTCAATACAGCCGTGTATAACATTAGTTAATAGCTTTATTCAGATGATGTCCATCTCAGGGTTTGATCTTTCTTTCCAGCAAATGTTTCCCAAAGAACCAAATATCACCATTCCCCCCAACCAACCGATCGACGAAGTTGTGGAATACTACTCCTTCAATCTGACGGAGATCCTTCCTCTGCTCGACAACTTCGAGTATTGTACCCAGAAGATTGAAATGTCCTGCCAAGATGCCGCCCTCAGTGTACAGGGACAGTTCGGCTGGTATAACCGACAGGGTGCCGTGCAGTCCTACTGGGTGGAGCCTCTCAGAGGTGGGTCACGACAAGGAGGCATACTTGCCTCGATAACACGGTTTGGGGTTGCATGTGAAAACCTCTGTAGCATATGTGAGTCGTGTCCAAAAGTAATGCGGCATACCGTTTACTTAAAGAGGGTGCACCATATGTATGGAAATTATGAATCATGAATTAATCGACATTCCCTTCACTTAGAAATGATTTCCTATATGCGTGGACACAAAACGTAATGAATTAACCAACATTCCCTGTGCTCTAAGACTGCACGCCTTGCATGGTAAATACTTGCATAAATTACCCGGCTCAACTGGCATGTATTAAATCACCGACATGTCTGTGCGACAGATGGCGTCCCGTGCACGGGTAACAACGGCCTGTGCAACTGTAACCTGCCTGGAAGCCAGGAAGATGGCGGCCTCATCATTGACCAGACAGCGCTTCCCGTCACCCGGATCAAGCTCGAGGCCTCGTCAGGAACCAGGAATGTCTTCCTTGGACCCGTTGAGTGTTATGGTAGGTTCCTGTTTGCCAACATATTGCTGAGATGGGATTGATCATGATCTCTTTGACGTCCAAACGTCTATAAACTTACACTTTAATCTCTCAGTGGTCGCCACGTGGACAGAACATCGGTCTTCAGGTTTGATCTTGGATTCGCCATTATATGATCTTTGGTATGGCATCTCTTTCTATTTACCTTCAGTCCCAAACGTCACTACATAATACGCAAAGAAAAGTAATCCAACACAATCACTTACTTCTTTTAATCGAAGTGTTGTACTAGTGAACAAGCAGAAACAGGCCTCCTAACCTCGGAATGATGCATCACCACACGGCTGTAGGGGCGATGGGAAGGTGGTTAGTGTCTTGGTTCTTAGAGCGGAAAGTGGTCGGTATCTTAGTCTCCCCAGCGTGTTAAGTCTTGAATATTGTACTCTCGTAATTGAAATGCACGTGTATGTTTAATATTGTATCTGATGTAATGGTATTCCACCCACTCCCACCCCTACTCTCTCCACTCCCGGAACCCAACCCTACTCCCCTCCCCATGAACGGGTCCCCTACTCAACCCCACCCCCTGCTCTGGATCCCACCCCTACTAACCCCACCCCTTAGCTGCGACAAAAGTACCCCCTCTTTCAGCCAGAACCACGCAGTGAAGTTGCCATGACTTGGTGTGTTTCAGACATCAAGAAGGACTGCTATGAAATCATGAAAAGTCGCAACAAACGCACCGTCTACTGGAGGAACAGCACCTACGTCATCGACCCCGACGGTCCAGGCGGCGTCGACCCATTCATCGCTGTGTGCAAGTTTGATGAGTCCAATGACAACGCCATCACAATGGTACAGCCTTAGCTGAAAGTGGCCACACTCTCCGGCTGATACTATCCACATACGCCTCCAGCTCTCCGGCTGAAACTAGCCACATACGCCTCTAACTCTCTGGCTGATACTAGCCACATACGCCTCTAACTCTCCGGCTGATACTAGCCACATACGCCTCTAACTCTCCGGCTGATACTAGCCACATACGCCTCTAACTCTCCGGCTGAAAGTGGCCACACGCGCCTCTAACTCTCCGGCTGATACTAGCCACACGCGCCTCTAACTCTCCGGCTGATACTAGCCACACGCGCCTCTAACTCTCCGGCTGATACTAGCCACATACGCCTCTAACTCTCCGGCTGATACTACCCACACACGCCTCTAAATCTCCGGCTGATACTAGCGACATACGCCTCTAACTCTCCGCCTGATACTAGCCACACACGCCTCTAACTCTCCGGCTGATACTAGCCACACTCTCCGGCACGTCTCTAACTCTCCGCCTGATAAAAGGCACATACGCCACATACTCTAACTCTCCGCCTGATACTAGCCACACACGCCTCTAACTCTCCGGCCTGAGCACACACGCCTCTAACTCTCCAGCTGATACTAGCCACATACGCCTGATCTAACTCTCACACGCCTCTAACTCTCCGGCTGATACTAGCCTCACGCCTCTAACTCTCCGGCTGATACTAGCCACACACGCCTCTAACTCTCCTAGCTGATACTGGCCAGGCCACACGCGCCTCTAACTCTCCGGCGCGCCTCTAACTCCGGCTGCCTCTAACTCTCCGGCCACACGCGCACATGCCTTTAACTCTCCGGCTGATACTAGCCACACACGCCTCTAACTCTCCGGCTGATACTAGCCACATACGCCTCTAACTCTCCGGCTGATACTAGCCACACGCGCCTCTAACTCTCCGTCTGATACTACCCACACACGCCTCTAAATCTCCGGCTGATACTAGCCACATACGCCTCTAACTCTCTGGCTGATACTAGCCACACACGCCTCTAACTCTCCGGTTGATACTAGCCACATACGCCTCTAACTCTCCGCCTGATACTAGCCACACGCGCCTCTGACTCTCCGCCTGATACTAGCCACACGCGCCTCTGACTCTCCGGCTGATATACTAGCCACACGCACCTCTAGCTCTCCGGCTGATACTTGCCACATGCACCTTTAACTCTCCGGCTGATACTGGCCACACGCGCCTTTAACTCTCCGGCTGATACTGGCCACATACGCCTTTAACTCTCCGGCTCTAACTCTCTCCGGCTGATACTAGCCACACACGCCTCTAACTCTCCGGCTGATACTAGCCACATACGCCTCTAACTCCCGGCTGATACTAGCCACATACGCCTCTAACTCTCCGGCTGATACTAGCCACATACGCCTCTAACTCTCCGGCTGATACTAGTTATACACGCCTCTAACTCTCCGGCTGATATTAGCCACATACGCCTCTAAATCTCTGGCTGATACTAGCCACATACGCCTCTAACTCTCTGGCTGATACTAGCCACATACGCCTCTAACTCTCCGGCTGATACTAGCCACATACGCCTCTAACTCTCCGGCTGATACTAGCCACATACGCCTCTAACTCTCTGGCTGATACTAGCCACATACGCCTCTAACTCTCCGTCTGATACTAGCCACACACGCCTCTAACTCTCCGGCTGATACTAGCCACACACGCCTCTAACTCTCCGGCTGATACTAGCCACATACGTGTCTAACTCTCCAACTGACATACACATATACCATAGTCTCCATCTTGCATTATACAATGCTCTCGCTTTTCCCACATCCAGGCATACCCTATTGATGGTGGGCCGAAGACAGTCACAGGTACAGATAGTAAAGACTTTGAGATCCCCCTCAACTACCCTGGAGCCACACCAGAACAACTCAACGAACTGGCCAAACACTCTAAGTTCTGTATGCAGGTGAGTGATGGTCTATTATAGGTGATCCCACTTCACGGTAGCTAACACGTTACCAACTGGCTACGGAGGATATAACATGAACCTTATTTCATTTTAACCAGTCGACATGCATGTTCTACCTTTCATTGTCTCGAGGAAGTGTATGGAAGCTGGCTGGAAGCAGCATGTTCTAATTTATTTCATAACGTAACAATGCCTTTGAACAATTATCATTTAAAATATCCAAATATTTACTCAACCTTAAATCTAAGTTAGATAAGGAGCTATATAAGATACCTTTTGATGAATGTTCTACCGTAGACAACTACACTTGCTTATACGCCTCTTCTAGTTTACATTCAAAATTTTGGGAATTCCAGATGTAACTAAGTCCAATTTCGTTAAAAAAATATTTAATATTATTATCCATTTATGCTTACTTTTTCCAATATGTGTGTCGTTAAAAAGTAATTTAGACATGAGTAGGGATAATTTGGAAGATTTACATAATTAGTATGGCACTGACCAGTGAGTCAGGTTCATTATAAGAGTAGGGGTGCATTTTCTAATCCCAATTAGCCTACATTGTTTTTGTATGCGAAATGGGATGTAGGGGAATTGAGATGTAGGCGAATAGAGACTAAACCCTTGAAACTTCTTGTCCTTCCTTCCTTTAAGCACAGGCCATTATGTATTTGTATTCAAGCGAACCATTCATGCAATTTTCTTAGCTATTTCTCTTTGCACCAAACAGATTTTGCTTCTGTGGCAAGTCGAGACTGTGCACTTACGTTCTTTATTGTATTTAATGCTTGTGTTTATAGTAAGAGTTATCATTATTATCTAAATTGAAGAAAAGCTTAATGATGAAAAAAGCTTTTTTATGATGTCAGTTGGGCACTCCCAGGTGTATGTCAAGGCTTTGTGATGTGTTGCCTTCAGGGAGTGCTATACGAGTGCAGGGAGTCTCCTATCGGATCACTGAAGCTAGCTGATGGGGACGTTGCACCTGGATTTGGACTTGCTGATGACATAACAACAAAGGGATGTCCCTGCGGGAAATTGGGCACCTGCGGCACCAACAACACGTGTCGCTGTGACAACAAGGGGCCAATGGGAGACTTCGACAGAGGCGTCATCACCGCCAAGGACGAGCTCCCCGTCGTGTCTGCTTCCTTTGGAGGACAGAGCACCCCTAACGCTGTAGGCAAAGCCACCATCACGTCACTCAACTGTTCCCGTATCCCTGACGGTATGAGTACTGGAGGAGTCATTGTTTGGGTAGAGATAGCCAATTAGTGGGTTCCGTCTGTAATTTGGAGGAATCATTCTACAAATTCAAAACCAGGATTGTCATAGAAGCAATCTTTGGATGGAACTTTTAGACTTCAAGAAGCATTCAAAGGAATCTGAAAAAAGTACATCATGGGAATATTTGTAACGATGCGCATTCTCGTGATTCCATACACGCACCCGCGTGTAAACAGCATTACTATGATACTAATTAGACATGGTAGAAATGTCAGGCAATATTAATTGTGTTGAACACCTCTAAATATCAATAAACAATATGTAGAACTTCATTTACCTTCATTACTTCACCTACCTCTTTTGATTCCGCACAATTACTTCACCTGTCTGTTTTGAGGTTCTGTACAATGTTCTGATACCTTACATGCAGGTCTGCCAGAGAACTGCCAAGAAGCGGCAGAGATGGGGATGACCAGCGGGGAAATCCTCGTCTACCCTTCCAGCGCCATCCCTCCCTTCCTCGTCTACTGCGACATGAACCTCGTCCCCGGAAAAGGTTAGCAGCTAAACATTCCCAATCAAAAACATTAGTATCTACCTGGTCAGGTTTGTGACGTCATTGAGTACGTTTGTTTCAGTTTGAGACTCGCCATTCATGCTTCTGATGCTAGTGAAAGTGTTTCGTTGTAGTGGTAAAATTCTAAGCGTAATTAAATGCTAAAACACAAATGTTGAAAGCTATCACTTGAGGCGGTTGATTGAGTGCAAATATGGAATGAATATAGTCCTCGAGTTGTGCATTGTTCAGACCCAATTGGGATCTATAAACTACATACCTTCCGTGTCACAACCGTACCTTTTGATTGGTCAGTTATTTCTGAAAATGGGTACAAGGAAAACCACCCACCTGACGTAACTATGAAATGGTTCCTCTCCCGGGGGTAAGTGTGAAGCGGGTGATTTCTCCGTGACTGGAAATCGGGTAAACCCCCTGGTTGTGAAGCCAAGTCCGGTTTTGAAACTGGTCTATCTGTACAGGTATTGCTCGGGTGAAGCCGGTGGATGACCCGGACAAGCCTGTAAATAGTCCAAATGGTACGACAGACGTTCCATACAAAGGTTTGACCGATGAGCAGCTTAGGATTCTTATCGAGACTTCAACGAATTGTTACCAACCCGTCCTTGTGGATTGCTTCAAGACAGGGGTGAGTTGAAAGTCCGTTACCTACCAGTGCCTTGTTTGGGGGAATATTGATATCAGTGTGTGAAGATGATGGGCGTGTATGCAAGACATGCCTGTACTGAGCCACAAAACAGTCTCTGGAACTTGTCCACCTTGTCCAGCAAGTTTCCCAGGGGGATAAGAAACTACCCTCTTTGTTAACAAAGTTTTGTCCATGTTCATGGTCAGTATGATCTGTGTCAATATGATCTGTGTGAGTACATCAGACATGGTCAATATGATCTGTGTGAGTACATCAGACATGGTCAATATGATCTGTGTGAGTACATCAGACATGGTCAATATGATCTGTGTGAGTACATCAGACATGGTCAATATGATCTGTGTGAGTACATCAGACATGGTCAATATGATCTGTGTGAGTACATCAGACTTGGTAATTTATGACGTTTGAAACATGAGGAGACTGATTCCATTCCATCAGAGACTTCTTGTTCCTTCCTTCCTCAGTTTATCAAGGACGGTTCCTTCTCCTGGAAGGGGTTGGACGGCCAGACCAAAAGGTACTGGGGGAGCGGCAGCAACCTTGCCCAGACCTGCTCCTGTGGAGACGACGGCATGTGCGGCGGCGTCGGCGGTAAAGACGACATGTCACAGAGGTAATGTAGTTGGAAGGGGGTGAAGGTCGACATGTCACAGATGTAATGGAGTGGGAAGGGGTGAAGGTCAACATGTCACAGAGGTAATGGAGTTGGAAGGGGTGAAGGTCAACATGTCACAGAGGTAATGGAGTGGGAAGGGGTGAAGGTCAACATGTCACAGAGGTAATGGAGTTGGAAGGGGTGAAGGTCGACATGTCACAGAGATAATGGATTTGGAAGGGCGGTAAATACGACATTTCACAGAGATAATGGATTTGGAAGGGCGGTAAATACGACATGTCACAGAAGTAATGGAGTGGGAAGGGGTGATGGTCGACTTGTCCCAGAGGTAATGGAGTTGGAAGGGATGAAGGTCGACATGTCACAGAGATAATGGATTTGGAAGGGCGGTAAATACGACATGTCACAGAGGTAATGGAGTGGGAAAGGGGTGAAGGTGGACATGTCAAAGAGGTAATGGAGTGGGAAGGGGGTGAAGGTCGACATGTCACAGAGATAATGGATTTGGAAGGGCGGTAAATACGACATGTCACAGAGGTAATGGAGTGGGAAAGGGGTGAAGGTGGACATGTCACAGAGGTAATGGAGTTGGAAGGGGGTGAAGGTCGACATGTCACAGAGGTAATGGAGTGGGAAGGGGCGAAGGTCGACATGTCACAGAGGTAATGCAGTGGGAAGGGGGTGACGGTCGACATGTCACAGAGGTAATGGAGTTAGAAGGGATGAAGGTCGACATGTCACTGAGGTAATGGAGTTGGAAGGGGTGAAGGTCGATATGTCACAGAGGTAATGGAGTGGGAAGAGGTGAAGGTCGATATGTCACAGAGGTAATGGAGTGGGAAGGGGTGAAGGTCGACATGTCACAGAGGTAATGGAGTTGGAAGGGGTGAAGGTCGACATGTCACAGAGGTAATGGAGTTGGAAGGGGCGAAGGTTGACATGTCACAGAGGTAATGGAGTTGGAAGGGGTGAAGGTCGACATATCACAGAGGTAATGGAGTTGGAAGGGGTGGAGGTCGACATGTCACAGAGGTAATGGAGTTAGAAGGGGTGAAGGTCGATATGTCACAGAGGTAATGGGGTAGGGCAAGGATGGAAGGTCGACATGTCACAGAGGTAATGGAGTTGGAAGGGATGAAGGTCGACATGTCACAGAGGTTATGGGGAATCGAAAAATGGGCTGTGGTCTCGGACGAGCCTTCAAAGAGTTATATAGGAATCGAAACCTGGGCTGTGGTCTCGGACGGGCCTACGTAGAGTTATGTTATGATTGGAAGGTAGCCGGGGCTGGTGGCCAAGGCTGACATGTCATGGAAGACTTTCTTCGTGTGCAGGAAGTGCAACTGTGAGATCGGTGATGCAGTGTGGAGGAAGGATGGCGGCGTGCTCAGCGTCAAGGTGGACCTCCCCATCAGGAGCTACACCTACACCACCCCCGGCAGTAACGGCGCCCAGGCCAACATGACCATCGGCGACTTGTACTGCGGCATGCAAGAGATCGGTAGGTGCACCGTGCACATCTTCCGTCACAGAATAACAAACACTATCAGGCTTCATTCAGGCTTCAGACATGTCTGAATATAGTAATGAAATCATTATCTATCACATTCAATCCTACACAAGGAGTGAGTGAATATTATTTTCGCTGCGTTTAGTAATATCACAGCAAATGGGCTTCACACATTGTACCCATGTGGGGAATTGAACTCGGGTCTTCAGCGTGATGAGCGGATGCTTTAACCATAAGACTACCCCACCGCCAAATTACGCAAAGGTTTTCGAATCTTGGTAATAGTAATTATACTATGATCAATGCAAAACGGACTTTGCATGGGTACATAGATGTGTGCGTTACTGTGCAGATCTTCCCGTGTGCGACATGGACTTCGACGACTGCGCGGAAGAGGCGGAGTGTGAGAACAAGAGGGTCAGCGACTTCAACTGCCATTGTAAGCAGGGCTACCAAGGTCTCATCCGTGGTCAGGGCATCAACGACGTGTGGGCCAACGGCAGAGAATGTTTCGGTAAGTTGACATAAGGTCGGCACTGTTGTCTCACATGGCGAAAAAATACATATTTACAGGAAGAGAAAACACATATGTATATCAAATAATTTTATTACGACGTTAAAAATAGCTGCCATGATGTCTGAGCTGGTTGACACGTCCCCACATCTACCTGACATGGCGCCAAACCTTCAAACATGGGCCCCATGTTTCTTGTAATGACGTCACACTTTGTTATACTGACGCCAGCTGGAGATCAAATCTGCTTGACAAAACGCTATATCTGATATAAATGTAATTGTTCGTGTACTGAAAGTCAGGTCAAAGTAATAATCATTTGGTACCATGCTGTATAGATCTAGCTGGAAACGATATAGTTGACATGCAGTTTCAGAGTAACACTTGTGAAAAACTTCGCACAGTTATTCCTCGCTGTTTAGTGCAGTGGTTGCTGGTACTTTTGAGTTGCTAAGATGTAGATACGTGGTACATGTTGACATGGGTGTGTATGTCGTTCGTGTAGATGTATTGTTGTACAGATGGATATGTATGTCGTACATGTAGATGTCTTGTTGTACAGATGGATATGTATGTCGTACATGTAGATGTCTTGTTGTACAGATGGATATGTATGTCGTACATGTAGATGTCTTGTTGTACAGATGGATATGTATGTCGTACATGTAGATGTCTTGTTGTACAGAGATGGATATGTATGTCGTACATGTAGATGTCTTGTTGTACAGATGATCGTACATTTAGATGTCTTGTTGTACAGATGAATATGTATGTCGTTCATGTAGATGTCTTGTTGTACAGATGGATATGTATGTCGTACTTGTAGATGTCTTGTTGTACAGATGGATATGTATGTCGTTCATGTAGATGTCTTGTTGTACAGATGGATATGTATGTCGTTCATGTAGATGTCTTGTTGTACAGATGGATATGTATGTCGTTCATGTAGATGTCTTGTTGTACAGATGGATGTGTATGTCGTACATGTAGATGTCTTGTTGTACAGATGGATGTGTATGTCGTACATGTAGATGTCTTGTTGTACAGATGAATATGTATGTCGTACATTTAGATGTCTTGTTGTACAGATGGATGTGTATGTCGTTCATGCAGATGTCTTGTTGTACAGATGACGACGAGTGTTCCTACCTGAGATGCGCCTACAGTTCTGTGTGTTTCAACTACCCCGGTGATTTCAACTGCACGTGCAAGGAAGGGTACAGGACGACTGGGAAGACCACGTGCGAAGGTATCGTTACTTTGTTGTACTACGCCATCCTTGACGTCACACGCGTACACATACCCGCAACAACATGCGATTCACACAATAATTATGAGTATTCTCTACAGTTCTGAAACAATTGTTGTTTCAGAATCATGTTTAACCACCATATTTTATCTTTAAAAGAACTCAAACTTGAAAAACTATAAATTTCTATCTGAAAACTTGTCACCCTTGAACGTGATATTTGAGGACGATTTTAATGATTTAAGCATCACTACTACAACTATGGTTATATATATATATCATATACAATCAATTATAAAAATAATAATAGAGACTGTTAGTGATTATTGCTTCAACAATGTAGCAGATATTCGCGACTTATGTACCCTATGTGCCACTTTATATATATATATATATATATATATATATATATAAGTCGCGACTATCTGCTAAATTGTTGAAGCAATAATCACTAACAGAGTCTCTATTATTATTTCTATAATTGATTAAAATACAGACACCGTGCTGGTTGTGTGGTGTCAGACCAATTCCATTGTAACTATCGTTGTCATGTTGTGTGCAGACATTAACGAGTGCACGGAGGGGACACATGACTGTAATAAGGACGCTAAGTGTGAGAACTTGGATGGAAGCTTTATCTGCAAGTGTAAGAGAGGCTTCGTCGGCGACGGCAGGACTTGTGACGGTAAGGCTAGCGGGATATGTGTACCCTTACCTCCTAACACATGCAGTCGGTCATGATTGGTTGATTGGAGAAATTGAAAAATATTTACAATGCTTCCACAATGGCAAAGTATTAAATTCCTTTTTTTTCTAAAACAATACAATACATGTTACTTGACAAAGCCTCGATCCGGTAGAGTCAACTTGTCCCAGTATACAATAATTGACATGCTATTTATCAACCTGATCTGTGTGTTTCTGCTCAGGGTGCCTTTGTACAAAGCGAGATTAGGGCTAAGACCGACTTCAAATAGCTAGGATAGTGCTGAGTGTGGCGTTAAACAAACAAACAAGAAAATGTCTTCCTCAATCAATTTCCTACATTAAGACGAATAGTTTCGGCGATCATAATTACCTGTCGTTAACCAGACCTTTCCTCATCAATCCAGCTCAAGGCCAATACGTGAGTTTCGGTGACCCCCATTGCCTGTCTTTTTATCGTCGTTAAATGACCAGACCTTTCCTCTTCAATCCAGCTCAAGGCCAATGCGTGTGTTTCGGCGACCCCCATTGCCTGTCGTTTGACGAGAAGTGGCTGGACTACATGGGTCTGTGCGAGTACACCATGAGCCGGGACAACTGTGGTGCCGGGGAACCAACGTACGAGGTCATCATGAACTCTTGGGACAAGGAACTCAATGTACAATATGCCGCCTGGGTGAAGGGGATCACCATTAAGTACAAAGGCACTGTAAGTATACAGACATGCTTTTGTCAATAGGAACACGCGTGGGTGTAGTCCAAGTAACTGTCTATGGAAAAATAATTCCGAGCAACCGTAGTGTCACTGACAGATATGTTCCCATTGCTATTCGTCTCAAGTGTCACTGACAGATATGTTCCCATTGCTATTCGTCTCAAGTGTCACTGACAGATATGTTCCCATTGCTATTCGTCTCAAGTGTCACTGACAGATATGTTCCCATTGCTATTCGTCTCAAGTGTCACTGACAGATATGTTTCCATTGCTATTCGTCTCAAGTGTCACTGACAGATATGTTCCCATTGCTATTCGTCTCAAGTGTCACTGACAGATATGTTCCCATTGCTATTCGTCTCAAGTGTCACTGACAGATATGTTCCCATTGCTATTCGTCTCAAGTGTCTCATTGCTATTCTATTCTCAAATGTCACTGACAGATATGTTCCCATTGCTATTCGTCTCAAGTGTCACTGACAGATATGTTCCCATTGCTATTCGTCTCAAGTGTCACTGACAGATATGTTCCCATTGCTATTCGTCTCAAGTGTCACTGACAGATATGTTCCCATTGCTATTCGTCTCAAGTGTCACTGACAGATATGTTCCCATTGCTATTCGTCTCAAGTGTCACTGACAGATATGTTCCCATTGCTATTCGTCTCAAGTGTCACTGACAGATATGTTCCCATTGCTATTCGTCTCAAGTGTCACTGACAGATATGTTCCCATTACTATTTGTCTCAAGTGTCACTGACAGATATGTTGTCATTGCTATTCGTCTCAAGGCCAGATGATCCTTAGAAACCTTTCTGCCGTAGATAGAGTCGACCTGGTAACCCCCCAGTACAAGATGGGCCCTATTAGAAGCATACTGCGTTCGGGAATAGTATAATTCATTGGGTAAACTAAATTTAAAGGTATCACAGTATCATGACGGACCCGGTTGGATGTATGTTTTCAACATACGTAATTAAGCGAATTGACAAATCCAAACATGAACCATCTGTTTCCAAAATGACGCATCTGCGTGTGCATTCATTAAACAGCTGCATTTTCATCTGTCTTTTGATCTTTTAATAGTGAAAAGCTAGACAATTAAGAATAATATCAAGAAAATCAACTGTGTAAATGTTGTACTTGCCATGACATAGAAGGTTAATAGAACCATTTTTTGCTGGTTTAGCCTTTGAGTGCATAGAAACCTGTAGAAATGTTGGTATTTAAATCCTCGTATGTGTGTGTGTGTGTGCGTGCCTGCGTGCGTATGTTTATGTCAGTGGGTGGGTAGGTAGATATTTAGGTCGGGTAGATTGGTAGATAGGAAGATACGTGTATGACAGATACACCAAAACAATTTATATGGGCAAATGAAGATATAACTATTGCTTAGAAACCTATAATATATAGACACTAAACTACACAAAGTAGAACAACCATTTATTCCATATAATTCAAATAGCTTGTATAAGAGAAAAAAGGGAAAAAAACAAACTATTATTATATCACATTCATTGTGTTCTTTCTATGATAAGGAATCAGAAACCATTATTCATATGTCATATGAGTGCAAACATATTAAAACGTTGTGGAAGCAATTAATAAATTGGATAGACACTGTAACTGGCACACAATTAGCATTGAATGTAAAACACATATGTGGGATATAAAGTAAGAAGTAATGACGTCTCAAGTCTAATTTTAATGTCCACAAAACAATTAATATATGAAAACAGATGTTTTAAAATCTATCCCTACCATAAACGGACTAAAGCGCCGTGCCTTATATCAGGTAGATACATGTGCTGCATACTCAAGATGACAGTACACGAGATTTGGTCCCTTTGGTCTTCATGTCATAACCTCTTCATATGATAAATTCAAATTACTCTTCAATCCTTGGTTGCCATGTGAAAACCCCTTCACATTAAAGAAATTGCTTAATGTTTTGTTGTTCTTCATTCGATGTTCGCTCAATATACAAACGAAAATATTAAATCATATATTATATACAGTATTATGTTATATGTACATGTATCTCAAATTATTCACTTGATTGTGTGTATAATCATGTCATACTCTGTACCTTTCAAAAAAGAAATAAAGTAATACAAAAATAATATTGGTAGATAGGAAGATACGTGTATGTGACCGTGTGCTTGTTCGTGCGAGCGTGTGTTCGTGTGTGCGCATGCAAGTGTCCTGTTGACTATGGCGTTTTCAGTACTGTAAATAGAGATTGATAATACATCAGCATTTGTCTTCTACTTCAGGTGGTCGAAATGAGACAGGGTCGGGAGATCCGTGTCAACGGACAGATCAAAGCCGGCTACAGCGGGAACGGCTTCTCCGTGATCGACACCGGCAGGGAAGCGGTATGTGCATCTAAAACCTGAACATGGAGTATAATCCTTGAATATGTTGATCAACGTAGCTATTTGAACCATGAAAGCTGCCCTTTGACTGCCTCCATTCAGGACAGGCGATGTGTTACGTTAGGCTGTACTACCCGAGCAGCAGTTGTCTTCAAGCCCACAGTATGTATCGTTATCAGTATATCCGTGGTAGATGATGCTGGTTATTTTACGTGGCTGGGATATTACCGATGTCGTGTCTAAGGTGTCTCACTCACTTGGGACCCATATGCAATTGAACGTTTTATATTTCGTGTTTAACAAGCTATTTTCGACCTCGCCCACGATGATGAAGTGTCAGTGCCCTAATTGAGTCCTTGACGTAGGAGGTGAGATAACAAGGTGTTGGCCAATCAGTCCAGTAATATATGAAAGATTTGACGGGTAGTACGTGTATAAAGAAATCTACAAAGTGTTAGTGTGTATATATATACCCCAGAAATAATTCAGCATAACACTGCGAGCATGCAGTACTCGGATGTGGCAACCCTGATGACTTGGGTGCTTATAGGTCCACCTCCTCCGCAACATATATCATACAAGTCGGTAACATGTAGCTGATAGGGTATTGGCCTGTGTTTACAGAGTCGGTAACATGTAGATGATAGGGTATTGGCCTGTGTTTACAGAGAGTGGATCTGTCGAAGTACTATTGAAAGTTTGTAGAAACGAGTATCACTTTCAGCCAATTTACCATGTAAAGCTGACACGTGGTACAGATGAGAACAACCCAGCTCCTCAACTCAGTCATAACCCTTGAGGCATGATGTGGCAGTGTAGCCCCCGCTGTGGTTACTGAGAAAAGCGGTGTAGAATCACACTAACGTTCCCCTGACTTCTGAGTCTGTCTCCCCAGATCTTCAGCAGCAACATCAACCTGACAGTGGCCTGGGACGGGAAGGACAAGGTCCAGATCTTCGTGGACAAGAAGTTCCAGCAGAAGACGTGCGGCATCTGTGGCAACTATAACAACGACGCCAAGGACGACTGGACGATAGGACCAGGATGTCCAAATGCAGGCCAGATCGTACGTGCAGATAAATGTAGAAAACTTGTCCTTTTGTACTTTATTGCTGATGTGATTTGTTGAGAGTTTTGTTTTGACCTTGTCATACCCACATAAAAGGTCTGGTAAATGATCATTCCAAATTCAATGTTCTTTTGATACAAGATAGTGATGCCAAGGTTACCCAAGTTGTGCTTATGTTAGTAAGGTTGTGGCTCCTTTTCCAGACAACCAACAACAATGAATTCGGTACCTCGTGGGCATCGGAAACATCAGCAAAACGCAGTCCCAAGTGTAAGAGGGACTGTGATGAGCCCCCATCCATGAACCCTCCCTGTGGTATGAGTCAGCAGATGGCGGCCATGATGTGTGGCTATCTCCTTGGACTGAGGACATCCGTCTTCAAAGTAAGTAGACTTGTGTATCAGAACCTTTGTCGTAACTATACCGATGGTGTATAATGCCAGTCTCATTTACTCTGTCTACATAAGGGTGCAGGTAGGGTAACAGGTTATATCTGTCATCGTGTTTTCACGTGGCCGGGGATCGAAACACCGAACCTCCGCTGTGTGGGCGTCTAGACCAGGGGAGTGGTCCTTCTTCAGAAACACTGAATACATGGTGGTACATTCTACGTGCTCCTGTACCGTGACGTACTTTTATCAATCCAGGACTGCATCCCTAAGATCAACTCCATCATCATGGAGGGATTGTACAGAAGCTGCAACATCGACATGTGCCGCTCGCCCCAGACCGCCATGGACAACATGTGCGCCACGGCGGGGAGGGTTGCTGACGAGTGCCGCGCTATAGGAGAACAGATCCCGGTATGGAGGAACGCCAACGGTCTCCGTTGTGGTGAGTTTACTGGAGATACAGAAACTGTGAGATGCGGACATTGTCGTTACTTCTTACTCGCTGATGCGTTGATATTGTACGTTTGAAGTCATAAATAGAAACTCTCTTGTCTTAGTGTTAATTTTCATTGTTACTCTACTTCTTGTTTTTTGCCAAGTACCATTATGTATGCCGCTAGGTTCCGAGGTGTCACCCTTTAAGTATGGATTTATCGGTACTGTTTGTTATGGTAGTAGACAATGGTCTTTCTCAGTCATTGGTACAGCAATAAATGACGGGAGTGTATCATCTGTTAAGACAATCAGAAGTTCAAAGTATACATGACGTGGGTGTTGCACCATGCATTTTAAGCATACCAATAATATGACGCTTCCCAACATTACAATGAGAGTTCAAAGTAGTGTGTTTGCGTACTGTTTGTACCAGTGTCGTTCCCTAACGCTGTAGTCAACGTTGCAGGGGAATCCTGTGGGGTGAACATGGTGTACAGTGTGTGTGGTGGTATGGCCGACACCGACCCAGGTCCGGTACAGACGTGTCTAGGGATGCTGACCAACGCCACGGAAGTCCCGTCCAAGTCGTGTCTGGACGGCTGCTTCTGCAAGGACGGGTACTACAAGGACAAGGACCACTGTGTGCCCGCGGCGGAGTGTGGATGTATCTACGAGGAGAACAACACGACCACCTACATGGAGGTCAGTAGAGTTCGGATATAAGTTTAGTGCAACCTACAAAATACAGGGGCCAGTAAATAAGTGCGGATCTAAGTTTGGTGCAACCTACAAATTACAGGGACCAGTAAGTATGTGTGGATCTAAGTTTGGTGCAACCTACAAATTACAGTGACCAGTAATTATATTTGGATGTAAGTTTAGTGCAACCTACAAATTACAGTGGACGATAACAATATGAGAGCCCACGTCTATGGCTATGGGATTTGTTGGTGTCTTTCAACCTTATTTTCAAAACGTGACAGAAAATACGGCGATTCGACTGAAACATACCGTCATATCAGTTTGTATGTTCTCTATAGCATTGCCCTTTGTCTTATGCGCTACTTGAACACTTGACATATGTTATTACAGGCTGGTGAAACAGTCGTCAATGATGGCTGCGGAGCGTACAGAATCTGCAACGAAGGCAACGTGTTCAACAACAAATCCCTCGTGTGTGACCCCGACGCTGAATGTGACCTTAACCTAGAACTAGGTGTCTATGGTTGCCACTGCAAAGCTGGATTCATGGGCGATGGCGAGAAGTGCGAAGGTAGGTAGAAAGTAATGACATCTAGGCATCTAGAACATCCAGACATGGGCCTAGACAACAAATCGTGAGCATCGGCCTCTGTTCCACACACTAGTAGTCATTTGTGACAAGACGTTGTGACACCATGAATATATCTGAAATACCGTACAAGTGGAAATAGAATTCCTTCAACCAGTCGGTATGGGTCATACCAAAACTCATGTGCGATAATGAGTCCTGTGTCTTCGTATATAAGATCATTAACTGTTAAATTAATATACAGTAAATACTTTCACATAGTTTGCAAGGGCACAACTGTAAAGTTCTTGGTGCTATTGTACAGAACAACCTTAGCGATAAGGCTACCTTAAGTCTTTGTAAAGGTATGGGAGATACGGTCAGCGTTAAGATCGCTTTGTACAACGGCACCCTGTAGGTTTGCCGTTTAGCAGAATTCACAACGTTAAATAGACATGTATGTTATAATTCCCAAGCTGCTGTTTAATTGGAGGGTTTTGTCATCGCAAAGTATTACAGATGACTTAAAGATCTCCACGCCGTTGTGTTTCAGAGGATCCATGTTACAACGTCAATTGCACCAAGAACCAGGAGTGCAAGGCGGGCAAATGTGTGTGCAAGATGGGCTACACTGCGGACTGCGAGACGTGTGTGGGTAGGTGTACTGCCAGTACTGGGTCATACCCGCGTTAGGGGCATACTGCATATTACAAGGGCCAGTAATAATGTCCGGATCCAAATATAGGGTAACCTGCAAATTACAGAGGCGAATACTAATCCTGTTTTCTCCCGGGTTGTTCTGTAAGTGGAAGATTTCTAGGCAGGATTAAGCCAACGAACAAAAACGGTATCCTTTAGGGATATTATACATTAATTTACAGGTAGGTACTACTATCAATCTATGTCTTTTCTATCGGTTAGACATTCCGGCACGGCTTGCTATCACTATAATTTGACCACTTAACCATCGGGGATCTGGGTACATTTGGGCAATTGTTATTGTTATCATGACAATCGTCTAAGATATGGAAGATCTCTATCTACCTGAGACAAGTGTAAGCAACGCCGGAGGTAAGAGCTGTCATGCGATTTTACTAGGACGTAGTAATGTCAGTTTGCAGGTTCCATAGCTTTGCTGTTTCCCCATATGTTTGTACATTGTGTGTATTATTGTTGCAGATATCGACGAGTGCGCCACGAGGACACACAACTGCACCAAGCCAGGCCAGGAGTGCAGGAACATCGATGGCGGGGCGGAGTGCATCTGCAAGGAGGGCTATTATGGCGTGGAGGACTTCTGTCTCGGTATGTGTCGCCGCCAACAGGTGTTGTAGTGTGTTGTAATCTTTTTTGTTTTGTTTTTTGTTTTGTTTTTATTTGTAATGTGTGGTTAGAATGGGTGAGTTTAGTTTTACGCCACACTCGACAATATTCAAGCTTTATGGCGGCGGTCTGTAGATAATCCAGTATGGGACAGACAATTCAGTGATCAACAGCATTAGTATCGATCTACTCAATTGGGATACGGTGTCATGTGAAAACCAAGTCAGCGAGCCTGACCACCCGATCCCGTTACTCGCCTCTTACGACAAGCATGGGTTACTGAAGATCAATTCTAACCCAGATCTTCACGGTTTGTGTGGATAGAGGCAGCTACAAGAAGGACTGCATGTTATGGACACGAACTGTAGTTGTAGCCCCCTGTCTGTTGGTGGTCACTGGCAAATCGTCTCTATGATTATGTCACACTTCTATCCAGTCACTAACTGACTGTGTGTTTCAGATTTTGACGAGTGTGCCACAGGAAAAGACAACTGCCCTCCAAACTCTGAGTGCAAGAACACAAGAGGCGGGTTTGAGTGCGTGTGTTGCGGGGGCTTCAAGAAGCAGGGTCTGCAATGTGTCAGTGATGGTGAGTTTCCCCTCGTCAAATATATAAACTTCCCTCCTCCCTCAAACTGCACAACACAACACAGTTAACTTCACAGCACAACACTGCACAGTTTAATGCAGGGCACAACACTACACAGCTGAATTCACAGCACAACACGACACAGTTTACTTCACTGCTGAACACTAAACAGCTTAATTCACAGCACAACACGACACAGTTTACTTCACTGCTGAACACTAAACAGCTTAATTCACAGCACAACACGACACAGTTACTTCACAGGACAACACGACACAGTTTACTTCACTGCTGAACACTAAACAGCTTAATTCACAGCACAACACGAACACACAGTTACTTCACAGGACAACACGACACAGTTTACTTCACTGCTGAACACTAAACAGCAAATTCACAGGACAACACGACACAGTTTACTTCACTGCTGAACACCAAACACCTTAATTCACAGCACAACACGACACAGTTTATTTCACTGCTGAACACTGCACAGCTTAATTCACAGGACAACACGACACAGTTTCATTCACTGCTGAACACTAAACAGCTTAATTCACAGCACAACACGACACAGTTTACTTCACTGCTGAACACTAAACAGCTTAATTCACAGCACAACACGACACAGTTTACTTCACTGCTGAACACTAAACACCTTAATTCACAGCACAACACGACACAGTTTATTTCACTGCTGAACACTAAACAGCTTAATTCACAGCACAACACGACACAGTTTACTTCACTGCTGAACACTAAACAGCTTAATTCACAGCACAACACGACACAGTTTACTTCACTGCTGAACACTAAACACCTTAATTCACAGCACAACACGACACAGTTTATTTCACTGCTGAACACTAAACAGCTTAATTCACAGCACAACACGACACAGTTTACTTCACTGCTGAACACTAAACAGCTTAATTCACAGCACAACACGACACAGTTTACTTCACTGAACACTAAAAAACCTTAAGTTCACAGCACAACACTAAACAGCTTAACACAGTTTTACTTCACTGCTGAACACTGCACAGCAATGCAGGGCACAACACTGCACAGCAATGCAGAGCACAGCACTACACAGCTGAAACCATAACACAACACGACAGTTTCATTCACTGCTGAACACTAAACAGCTTCCTCACTGCACTACACGTCACAGCTTAATGCATAGCACAACACGAAACACAATCACTCCAAAGCACTAAACAGAATTTTCCACAGCACAGCTTAATGCAGAGCACAACACGACGCAGTTTCATCCACTGAATACACTAAACAGATTTATCCACCGCACAGCACAGTACTACAGAGCTGAGTTCATAGCACAACACTACATAGCTTATTTCATAGTACTGTGGCAGGGCGCGGAGTCATCCCACAGGTGACATCCTTACCTTGTCAGCTTGCTGACGGGGTTAATCTCTTTGGTCATGTGGACAAGGCGTCCGACTTAGGATTAGAAGGTTCGTGATTCGAATCCCAGGACGGGACTCGGAAATTTTATGGCCGCTACATTGGCGCCCAACGTGGGGCTGAGCACGTTCATATCAAATTTGAGCAAAATTTTACTGGATTGTATTCTTACAAATACCGTAACGAATCTCACATCTGCTGCTGTACTGCCGATGCATAACTGTACACTGGACTGTACACCCTCCTTTCCAACTCCAGTAATAATAGATCCTGGAAGTATATGTAATAAAGCACATTTCCTTGTTAGTTTTCAAGGAACCAACAGCCCCATACTTCAAGGCTATAACATTGTCTGTTTGCAGGCTCTGGTTTCGAGAGTGTTGGCAATGGAACAATATGCTGTTCCTGCTTCGGAGAGTCCTGCAGCAACCCAGGAAAGGTTCGTGAAATGATTTCCGTTCAGACTCCATTACACACACGCACCTACATACACACACATACATTCATTTTTTACACATACACACACACACACACACATACATACATACACACACACACACATACATACATACATACACACACATACATACACACATACATAGAGTGTATTTCAGCATCAGAGGCTGGACATGTCGCTGATACAGTGACCCGTGATGTGAAACTGAGGAAGGTTCCCCCTTATGCATACTATGTTGTTCGGCCAGCCTGCCTTGGGGTCGGGGGTACTGCATGTCAGGTTAACCAGTGGTACTGATGTGGAAGATGTGGTCCTCCTGAAGTTGGTGACAGTTTGGCTTTATTGATGTCACAGGTCTCCTTTTGTCAAGTTGTTTTTCAGATGCAGTAAAATGAGCTAAATGTAATTAAATTTGCTGATTTGGCAAAAATACTGGTGTATTTGCTAATGGTGTATGTATATTTGATGATGCCACAGGTTTGTGGAAGTGACGGGAAGACTTACAATTCAGAGAAGGAACTGATCATCAAAGCCTGCAAGAACCAAAACTTCGTGGAGAAATCCTACGATGGTCCATGCAGAGGTAGGCATTGTAGCAAGTCTTATGTTGAGTTCATACGTTTGTCACGAGATTATATTCTTTAAATGACCTAAAGACTGACGAACTTTTTCCATGTGAAAGAGTTTTCTCATATCTGAGACCAATCAATCTTGCACGTAGCCTTTACCATATATTGGGATAGGTCGGAGTGTCGCTGCATGGCCGTTCAACAACATCTACGACCCATCTTCGTGATGCAGATGAATTCATGCTCATCCAAACTATGGACTCGATCTACAGCAATCTATAATTTTACCCCTGTATCTATTTTACAAATATTGATAATCACTTTTAAGTGATGAGCCGATTGATCAATGATGAATAACATTTGTAATTGGCACACTTTCATGAACAACTTTGAAAAGCTCTCCCGTCACGCTGATTGTGTCGGTCATTTTCACATCCTGAAGTTGATGTAAATTTATTACGACTTATGGATCCCCAAATGATGGACATGTATTGTACTCAAGGACAGGTTATATTGTGAAAGGATAGATGGATGGGTGTTATATTGGAGGACATTCGGAAGGCTGTAGTACAAGAGGTCGGGCTGGGTCTGAAGGGTAGGACTACATGCGAGTTTGGTGTTCCAGATGACTGTGCCAACACGGAGTGCGAGCTGCCCAGCCAGGTGTGTGTGGTGGAGAATGGCAAGGCAAAGTGTCAATGCCCTGTGTGTACGGAGTCGGAGGCCAATGTTACTATAGGTAAATACGTACAGCGCTGCAAGTACGTCACTACGTACGATCTACGTGTAATACAAGAGCACATCTGCTACAGTACAACACCTGGTCTACAGAAATAAAAACAGCTGCATGTATGATGCATTTATTGTTTATATCTTTGTTTGTTTGTACACACACCTGGTCTGTAGTAAGATAATACTTTCATGAAATACAAAACAGTGTCCTCAAATTCTTGCGTGAAAAGTATGTTTGCTTACCTATTCTATTGCCTGAAATATTTATTGTTTACATCTTGTTTGTTTGTGTATTTATTGTTTACATCTTTTATCTTGTTTGTGTATTTATTGTTTACATCTTTGTTTGTTTGTGTATTTATTGTTTACATCTTTGTTTGTTTGTGTATTTATTGTTTACATCTTTGTTTGTTTGTGTATTTATTGTTTACATCTTTGTTTGTTTGTGTATTTATTGTTTACATCTTTGTTTGTTTGTCATCAACCTTTTGCCATGTTGTAGAGGCAGTGTGCTCCTCTACTCACCTGATGTTCAAGAGCAGGTGCGACTTCGATAAGTATACGTGTGGCATCGGCAACTCGGAGATCACCATCGTCTCCACTGGCAAGGAATGTGAAGGATCTGGAGCAGGTACCATTCCCCCGACAATAAACAATTTGTTATGTGGAAAAAGGGTTGATGAAACCACCACATATTTCATGTAAATTAAAATGTGATACCACTTTGTAATGAAAAGGTGGGATGGGATTAGGATTCCGAACAACATACATCCTGTAATGTAAAGTAAGAGAGGGATAGGAGGCACTTTCATACAACAATGTTTTGTAAAGTAATGGCAGGTGGTTCATTTACATTGTGTGTCAACAATGCTACCCTTTCACATGCAGTAGGGTGTATGGAAGGGGTAATGGATTGCCTGCAGTGTCATGCTGTATTTGTACCCTTCATAGTAGGGTGTAGGGAAGGGTGGGTGTACATGTGTCATGCTGTATTTCAGGCTACCCTTTCACATAGTAGGGTGTATGGAAGGGTGGGCACTATGTACATTGGGTGTCATGCTGTGGGACCATAGTAGGGTGTAGGAAGGGGTGGGGACCATGTACATTGCCTGCAGTGTGTTGTGCTATATTGCAGGTTACCCTATGGCACAGTGGGGACCGTGGGGACCCTGCAGTGTTACATGTGGTACTGGGTTCGAATCAAGGACACGTGTTCCCCTTGGCAACGCGTTAGACTCAAATGGCAACCCACTGAAGGAGACGGCCATCGCCTTGTGCTACAGGACATGCCCAGAAGGTAGGACGTCTTCTGAACACCTCATCAAGGGGCCCTGGTGTTATGGGTTACACGATGAAAAGCAGGTTACTACTGTCTTGTATATGCTTCACTTCGATGAAGCTGATAGGCACAAGCATAGTGTTGTCAAACTAAGAATCAGGGGCCCCGTTCTGGAATCTATCTTACGGGTACCGTAAGGCTATGTTAGGAGATGGAAGTTACGGTGATCCGCAGGCAAACGGTTGAAACGGGGTGAACGGAGTGAAGGAACAGGGGAGTTAAATCTAAATATACTTGTTGAATCACATGTCCGTCATATGGAATACTTGCGGAGTTACCTCCCTTGCCTTCATTCACCCGCTACGCCAGAATAAATGTTACGAAAATTCTAACAATACGAGGCAGATAAAAAATAAAAAATCTCCAACGGTTTAATGGTAAAATTAGGCAATATGATATTTCTATATAATTTAGGCTTATTCTTGTTCCTTCACACCGTTGAACCGGACGCCGGCAGGGGTAATGGAGGCGAAGAACGATGTGACATGCCACGAGTGGCGCTTAAAATGTTCAATTAAAAATATTTACGTGAGTAATTATTAAATGTGAGGTTGGAAATCTGAGAGTACATTAACCCTGAGAGGAAATGGATGTCTACCTTTGATGGTGGCGATATTTTGTTTTGATATTAAACATATTTTTCGAACCGAAGCGAGGGAAGTACGTTGCCAAACTTTGCTCGTTTCGCTCGCGCATAGAAAGACTGGTCATTTTTCTCTCTGTTGCGTAATCCTATTTGCGCTACATTATGCCTGTGTGTCATCTTAGCGCTAAGATAGGTTTTATGGAACGGGCCCTGGGCGAATCTTGGATGCCTAACTCCACCCGGCACGGCGAATACAGACTTGGTATTTATGTTTACAACTATTTCTTATTTCATGACTAGTGTGCAACAAAAAGACTGCATGTATTCATAAGATCGGTATTTCAAGACAAACACCGCTCAAGATCCAGTGGAGGACTTAATATCCAAATACAGAATTTTGTTACCATACAGACATGGACAGTGCTTTTGCTTCTCATTTGAAATCTATTATAGGAATTGTTAATTAAAAAGATCTTACTGTACCAGCTCTTTTGTACAAGCTCTGTCATAAAATTCTACTAGTGTACAACTCTGCCGTAAAACCCTACAGTAAAACTATACTGTTAATATCTACTGTACAACTCCTCTATAAAACCCTACTGTAAAACTATACTGTTAATATCTACTGTACAACTCCTCTATTGACAACCATTATTGGCATGAGTATAATTACAGTAAAAGTCTGCTGTACAAGTCTGCTGTACAACCCTACTGTACATATATATACAGCACAACTCTACTGTAAAGCAATACTGTACAACACTACTGTAAACCTATTGTACAGTTCTACTGTACAGTAAAACAAAACTGTTAATCTCTGCTGTAAAATGAATACTCTGCCGTTAAGACACAACCTCTACTGTATGGGCACCAATGTGTTGTAAATGTATGACAGGACCCTGCACTGCCACCACGTGCCCCAAGGCCCAGGTGTGTGTTTCCAACAATGAGACCTCTTCAACCAACTGTACCTGCCGCAAGTGTGACAACCGCGGCTACGACCCCGTCTGCGGCCGTGTGGGCAACTTCGTCAGGACCTACGTCAACCTGTGCGAGCTGGAGAAGGATGCCTGTGTCAAGACCCTGCCCATGACAATCGTACAGGACTTCGCTTGTGAAGGTAAGACACTGATGAGTGAGTGAGTTTAGTTTTACGCCGCTTTTATCAATATTCCAGCAATATCACGGCGGGGGACACCAAAAATGGGTTGCACACATTGTACCCGTTGGAAAACCCTGGTCTTCAGCGTGGCAAGCGGACGTTTTAACCACTAGGCCCCGATGAGTTAGTGAGCGGCATATGCTTACATCGTACACCGCCAACCGCCATAAGTCAAAACAAACAAATGAGGCATTGTTCCTGTTGTACTTGTTTGTTTATTAACGCTCCATTTTGTATTGTCCAGCGATAATACTTCTGCCTGTTAATAATCAAGTCTGGGCAGACTATCCAGTGATTGATACTATGAACAACGACCCCAGTCATCGGTGTACGACAACACGCCATCAGGGTACCCAGCCTATAACTGGGTCCATTCAGTCGCCTCGAACAACCAGCATGGGTTACTGGGACCCACTCTCACCTAGACTCCCTACAGGGGCACTGCTAATGGAGAGTATGTTGATATGGTTTCACGCCGCTTTTAGTACTCCAGCACATATCACTGCTTGGAACTCCAGAACTGGGCTTCACACATTGTACTCATGTTGGAAATCGAACCAAGGATGAGGAAACGCTTTACCAAGCCTACCACTGGGTCCATTCAGTCGCCTCGAACAACCAGCATGGGTTACTGGGACCCACTCTCACCTAGACTCCCTACAGGGGCACTGCTAATGGAGAGTGTGTTGATATGGTTTTACGCCGCTTTTAGTACTCCAGCACATATCACTGCTGGGAACTCAAGAACTGGGCTTCACACATTGTACTCATGTTGGAAATCGAACCCAGGATGAGGGAACGCTTTAACCACTAGGTTACCCCGCCGCCCCTGCTGTAAGAGAATAGTGGACACCCAAGGCAATGACTTCTTTGATTGGCATTCAAGAAGTTGGGTAGATGAAGAATGAGGACTATTTTTATGGATATACAACTTCTTAATTCTGTATAGGGACGTTTCGACATAGATTCTAATGTCCGCTAAGACCACTACACAGAATAATGAAGTTATATATCCATAAAAATAGTCATCAATCTTCATCCAAGGCAATGTTCTTAAAGGTATTACTCTGCCGCTAATTTTGTCAGGTATTAAATGTAAAATTGATTTTGGAAATATCAGTGAGACAAATTGAACAAAATTAACCCAACTGTTTCTACACCATTGCCCCACCTTGTGTTTGTAGTGAAACCAGTGAACTGCTCCAAGATGGCAGCATGGGGGTCCAGGAAAGACGACAAGGGGTGCGAGTCCATCTTCATGGACTTCGGTCAGTGCGGAGGAGGTTGTGGGCAGATAGCAACTAAGTGCTGCACGCCCAAAGTTGAACAACAGTCCATACAAGTCAAGTGTATCGGACAAACAGCCTACAATACAACTGTAAGTAGTTGGAGGGAACAGGGGTTCATCCGTCGTTGCTTTTAACCCGGGTTATTAGGTTGGATTAACGTGCATTGAGCACTTGAAGTAACTGTACAATTACATACACCATAGTGTGCGCCTCATACATATAGAGTATACTAAACGATGTCCTCCGTGTAATACCATATATATGAAACGAGTGAATGGTTTGGTATCTAACGAGTGAACAATAACACCCAGCTCAACCAACATTAGCAAAATAATATCTCAGAATTCAAACTACAGAACGAGTGCACTACGCCACCATAACAGGGGCCACGCGTGTCAATACGTTACATTTATAATTGTCAACGTTAGTCTATTTAATTTGATTTTTTTAAAATTAACAAGGGGTATGAAAAAGGGACCAAATGACGTCAACCAACACATTATTTTTTATATATGTAAATGCTAATACACGCAAAACATCTGAAATATCGCATCTTAGAGATGTGTTGTGAATGGCGGCCGACATTTTGTTTTGATCACGTTACTTTGGTCATGTGACGGAGTGCAAATAGTTCCGGCATCGTGTGCTGCCGGAATTTTGAACATTTATTAAACAGTGATATCTTCAACGGGTGAGTAATAAAATTTATAACACGACAAGAGCAGTGTACATGTTAACTTCAGCTATAACACCAACCCCATAACAGTGTACATGTTAACTTCAGCTATAACACCAACCCCATAACAGTGTACATGTTAACATCAGCTATAACACCAACCCCATAACAGTGTACATGTTAACTTCAGCTATAACACCAACCCCATAACAGTGTACATGTTAACTTCAGCTATAACACCAACCCCATAACAGTGTACATGTTAACATCAGCTATAACACCAACCCCATAACAGTGTACATGTTAACTTCAGCTATAACCCCATAACAGTGTACATGTTAACCCCAGCTATAACACCAACCCCATAACAGTGTACATGTTAACTTCAGCTATAACACCAACCCCATAACAGTGTACATGTTAACTTCAGCTATAACACCAACCCCATAACAGTGTACATGTTAACCCCATCAGTGTATAACACCAACCCCATAACAGTGTACATGTTAACTTCAGTTATAACACCAACCCCATAACAGTGTACATGTTAACTTCAGCTATAACACTAACCCCATAACAGTGTACATGTTAACATCAGCTATAACACCAACCCCATAACAGTGTACATGTTAACTTCAGCTATAACACTAACCCCATAACAGTGTACATGTTAACATCAGCTATAACACCAACCCCATAACAGTGTACATGTTAACTTCAGCTATAACACCAACCCCATAACAGTGTACATGTTAACTTCAGCTATAACACCAACCCCATAACAGTGTACATGTTAACTTCAGCTATAACACCAACCCCATAACAGTGTACATGTTAACTTCAGCTATAACACCAACCCCATAACAGTGTACATGTTAACTTCAGCTATAACACCAACCCCATAACAGTGTACATGTTAACTTCAGTTATAACACCAACCCCATAACAGTGTACATGTTAACATCAGCCAACCCCATAACAGTGTACATGTTAACTTCAGCTATAACACCAACCCCATAACAGTGTACATGTTAACTTCAGCTATAACACCAACCCCATAACAGTGTACATGTTAACTTCAGCTATAACACCAACCCCATAACAGTGTACATGTTAACATCAGCTATAACACCATGTTATAAGACATGGGTGTAGTTATGTGTTGACAAGGGCTGCTTAGACACTGGTGTGTGTTACTGTTATATGTTCAGGTGCAAATGTTGCAGTGTCTTCAAATTCTGGTGCGTATCGTTGACGCCTCGTGAAGCAAGTGCGTGGCGTAGAACACCTAGACATTTAACTTCACATAGTGTATGTTATTGCGGTGCCTAATGCGGTGTTAGGCCATCAGGAAGCATTAGCTATGCTTATCTGCCTGACTGAGTCTAATTTTACGCCGCTTTTAGCAATATTCCGGCAATATTACGGCGGGGGACACCGGAAATGGGCTTCACACATTTTAGCCATGTGGGGATCGAACCCTGATCTTCAGCATGACGAGCGGAAGCTATTACCCCAAGGCTACCCCACCGCCACTGCTTATCAAATCACATCACATCAAGTATTGCACTTCAATTAAATGTTCGATGGATTTATTGAGACACACTTGCTTGATGTTTCAGATGGATGTTATAACCAGCTGTGATTGTGAGGAAACCAAAGCTCCAAGCAGCACGCCGCGAACAGGCATCCTTTAATCTAGGTTGTCTCCCCTTCCTTACTCTGGATGGAGGCCGTAGATACACAGAAGCTGAAAGCCACTACATCACGTCGTACAGTGTTGTGAAACAAACCGATTCTAAGATAGTGTGTAAATAAGGGAATATCGTTTTGATGATGTGAATTAGAAAAAATATATTTTATGAGTTTCAGCATGTTCCTGAGTATAAGGCCAAATACATATTTTTTTAAATCATTTATGTTAACATATGAATATGTGCAGCTTTCTGATGTCAATAGTATCACGTGCAACGTTGCCAAGCTGACGAAATGTGCAATATTTGGGATACGGGTCTGCTTATTCACAGATACCAGCTTTGTCTTCCAGTGCTATTATCAGTAGTATTATATTCTGTGATTTTCTATTTCAGGGAGAAATAAAAGATATAGTTTGACTAAACTGTTTCCTGTTACTTTGTATTTCTATCTATTTACAGACTTCATCCAGTGAATAAAAGTGCAATATAGCATATGTCTTTGTTATCATGGATGCTACATGGTGGTATGACTTGCTCAAAATACATCTAACTTCATAGGAGAGATGTGGAAAATATTGTGCATCCACGGGGTGAAACGTTATTATCTACGGGGGTAATGATAGGTACGCTAAATAATATTACAACACACGTCCGTAACACGTTAACTAAATATGTGCATACTACACGTGACTGTCCATACAACATCTTCAACAGTGATAGTCCAGACTACACCTTCTACAGTGATAGTCCATATAACACCTTCTACAGTGATAGTCTATATAACACCTTCAACAGTGACTGTCCATACAACACCTTCTACAGTGACTGTCCATACAACACATTCAACAGTGATAGTCCATATAACACCTTCTACAGTGATAGTCCATAAAACACCTTCTACAGTGACTGTCCATATAACACCTTCAAAAATGATAGTCCGTAAAACACCTTCAACAGTGATAGTCCATATAACACCTTCAACAGTGATAGTCCATACAACACCTTCTACAGTGACTGTCCATACAACACCTTCTACAGTGACTGTCCATACAACACCTTCAACAGTGATAGTCCATATAACACCTTCAACAGTGATAGTCCATAAAACACCTTCTACAGTGATAGTCCATATAACACCTTCAACAGTGATAGTCCATATAACACTTTCAACAGTGACTGCCCATACAACACCTTCTACAGTGACTGTCTATACAACACCTTCTACAGTGACTGTCAATACAACACCTTCAACAGTGATAGTCCATATAACACCTTCAACAGTGATAGTCCATAAAACACCTTCCACAGTGATAGTCCATATAACACCTTCTACAGTGATAGTCTATATAACACCTTCAACAGTGATAGTCCATATAACACTTTCAACAGTGACTGCCCATACAACACCTTCTACAGTGACTGTCCATACAACACCTTCAACAGTGATAGTTCATATAACACCTTCTACAGTGACTGTCCATACAACACCTTCAACAGTGATAGTCCATATAACACCTTCAACAGTGATAGTCCATATAACACCTTCAACAGTGATAGTCCATATAACACCTTCAACAGTGATAGTCCATATAACACCTTCAACAGTGATAGTCTATATAACACCTTCTACAGTGAAAGTCCATACTACACCTTCAAGAGTGATAGCCCATACTACACCTTCAACAGTGATAGTCCATATAACACCTTCAACAGTGATAGTCCATACTACACCTTCAACAGTGATAGTCCATATAACACCTTCAACAGTGATAACACCTTCAACCATACATACTACACCTTCTACAGTGATAGTCCATACTACACCTTCTACAGTGATAGTCCATATAACACCTTAAACAGTGATACTCCATAAAACACCTTCTACAGTGATAGTCCATATAACACCTTCAACAGTGATAGTCCATATAACACCTTCAACAGTGATAGTCCATATAACACCTTCTACACTGACTGTCCATACAACACCTTCAACAGTGACTGTCCATATAACACCTTCAACAGTGATAGTCCATATAACACCTTCAACAGTGATAGTCCATACTACACCTTCAACAGTGATAGTCCATACTACACCTTCAACAGTGATAGTCCATATAACACCTTCAACAGTGATAGTCCATACTACAACTTCAACAGTGATACTCCATACTACACCTTCTACAGTGATAGTCCATAAAACACCTTCAACAGTGATAGTCCATATAACACCTTCTACAGTGATAGTCCATAAAACACCTTCTACAGTGATAGTCCATACTTCACCTTCTACAGTGATAGTCCATAAAACACCTTCAACAGTGATAGTCCATAAAACACCTTCTACAGTGATAGTCCATAAAACACCTTCTACAGTGATAGTCCATACTACACCTTCTACAGTGATAGTCCATACAACACCTTCTACAGTGATAGTCCATACTACACCTTCTACAGTGATAGTCCATACTACACCTTCAACAGTGATAGTCCATACTACACCTTCTACAGTGATAGTCCATACTACACCCTCAACAGTGATAGCCAATATAACACCTTCAACAGTGATAGTCCATATAACACCTTCTACAGTGATAGTCCATAAAACACCTTCAACAGTGATAGTCCATACTACACCTTCAACAGTGATAGTCCATACTACACCTTCTACAGTGATAGTCCATACTACACCTTCAACAATGATAGTCCATACTACAGCTTCAACAGTGATAGTCCATAAAACACCTTCAACAGTGATAGTCCATAAAACATCTTCAACAGTGATAGTCGATACAACACCTTCTACAGTGATAGTCCATACTACACCTTCAACAGTGATAGTCCATACTACACCTTCAACAGTGATAGTCCATAAAACACCTTCAACAGTGATAGTCCATATAACACCTTCAACAGTGATAGTCCATACTACACCTTCAACAGTGATAGTCCATAAAACACCTTCAACAGTGATAGTCCATAAAACACCTTCAACAGTGATAGTCCATATAACACCTTCAACAGTGATAGTCCATATAAAACCTTCTACAGTGATAGTCCATACTACACCTTCAACAGTGATAGTCAATATAACACCTTCAACAGTGATAGTCCATATAAACACCTTCAACAGTGCCTGTCCATATAACACCTTCAACAGTGACTGTCCATACTACACCTTCTACAGTGATAGTCCATACTACACCTTCAACAGTGATAGTCCATATAACACCTTCAACAGTGATAGTCCATACTACAACTTCAACAGTGATACTCCATACTACACCTTCTACAGTGATAGTCCATAAAGCATCATAAAACACCTTCAACAGTGATAGTCCATATAACACCTTCAACAGTGATAGTCCATATAACACCTTTCAACAGTGATAGTCCATACTAACACCTTCTACAGTGATAGTCCATAAAACACCTTCAACAGTGATAGTCCATATAAACACCTTCTACAGTGATAGTCCATAAAACACCTTCTACAGTGATAGTCCATACTACACCTTCTACAGTGATAGTCCATATAACACCTTCAACAGTGATAGTCCTTCTACAGTGATAGTCCATACTACACCTTCTACAGTGATAGTCCATACTACACCTTCAACAGTGATAGTCCATACTACACCTTCTACAGTGATAGTCCATACTACACCTTCCACAGTGATAGTCCATAAAACACCTTCAACAGTGATAGTCCATATAACACCTTCAACAGTGATAGTCCATAAAACACCTTCAACAGTGATAGTCCATACTACACCTTCAACAGTGATAGTCCATACTACACCTTCTACAGTGATAGTCCATACTACACCTTCAACAGTGATAGTCCATATAAACACCTTCAACAGGTGATAGTCCAGTGATAGTCCATATAACACCTTCTACAGTGATAGTCCATAAAACACCTTCAACAGTGATAGTCCATACTACACCTTCAACAGTGATAGTCCATATAACACCTTCTACAGTGATAGTCCATACTACACCTTCAACAGTGATAGTCCATACTACAGCTTCAACAGTGATAGTCCATAAAACACCTTCAACAGTGATAGTCCATAAAACATCTTCAACAGTGATAGTCGATACAACACCTTCTACAGTGATAGTCCATACTACACCTTCAACAGTGATAGTCCATACTACACCTTCAACAGGGATAGTCCATAAAACACCTTCAACAGTGATAGTCCATATAACACCTTCAACAGTGATAGTCCATACTACACCTTCAACAGTGATAGTCCATAAAACACCTTCAACAGTGATAGTCCATAAAACACCTTCAACAGTGATAGTCCATATAACACCTTCAACAGTGATAGTCCATATAAAACCTTCTACAGTGATAGTCCATACTACACCTTCAACAGTGATAGTCAATATAACACCTTCAACAGTGATAGTCCATATAAACACCTTCAACAGTGCCTGTCCATATAACACCTTCAACAGTGACTGTCCATACTACACCTTCTACAGTGATAGTCCATACTACACTTTCAACAGTGATAGTCCATACTACACTTTCAACAGTGATAGTCCATATCACACCTTCAACAGTGATAGTCCATATAACACCTTCAACAGTGATAGTCCATATAACACCTTCAACAGTGATAGTCCATACTACACCTTCAACAGTGATAGAAAATAAAACACCTTCAACAGTGATAGTCAATAAAACACCTTCAACAGTGATAGTCCATACTACACCTTCAACAGTGATAGTCCATACTACACTTTCAATACTGATAGTCCATATAACACCTTCAACAGTGACTGTCCATATAACACCTTCAACAGTGATAGTCCATACTACGCCTTCTAGTATCTAACGAGTGATAGTCCATAATACACATTCAACAGTGATAGTCAATATAACACCTTCAACAGTGATAGTCCATATAACACCTTCAACAGTGCCTGTCCATATAACACCTTCAACAGTGACTGTCCATACTACACCTTCTACAATGATAGTCCATACTACACTTTGAACAGTGATAGTCAGTACTACACTTTCAACAGTGATAGTCAGTACTACACTTTCAACAGTGATAGTCCATATAACACCTTCAACAGTGATAGTCCATATAACACCTTCAACAGTGATAGTCCATATAACACCTTCAACAGTGATAGTCCATACAACACCTTCAACAGTGACTGCCCATACTACACCTTCAACAGTGATAGTCCAGGTAACACCTTCAACAGTGACTGCCCATACAACACCTTCAACAGTGATAGTCCATATAACACCTTCAACAGTGATAGTCCATATAACACCTTCAACAGTGATAGTCCATATAACACCTTCTACAGTGATAGTCAATAAAACACCTTCAACAGTGATAGTCCATACTACACCTTCAACAGTGATAGTCCATATAACAGCTTTCAACAGTGATAGTCCATACTACACCTTCAACAGTGATAGTCCATACTACACCTTCAACAGTGATAGTCCAT